GTACAGCATTATTATCTCATAATGATAATCCATGTAAACGTCTTCAAATACATAAAACGATATTTAACGTACAACAGATGGATTCTCTCTAGTCATTTAAATTTACAAAAAAAAAAAACAAAAATATTTTCTTTCTTATTGTTATTTGCTTGTTTTCTTCTATTGTATGCAAAACCCGATTAGAACAGTGTTTGCTTCGTTGTAAATATGACAATAAGATATTTGTTATGATTCTCTTTGTTGACGTCTATTCTCTTATAAGAAATATATATCTCATGAGTTTCTTTTTTTTTTTTTTTTTGATAATAATGATACGGAAAAATCTATATATATTTAATAAATAAAAACAAAACAAAAATTATTTTATAGATTTTTATTATGGGTAAACAAAATCGTGCTATTGCTCAAAAAGCAAAAGTTAAACAACAACAGGATAATAAAAAGCCAAAAGCTGTTAAAACTAATTTAAAACGAGTGAGATTATTATGAATATTTATTGAAATTATTTATCTGTAATATGATTTAGTTAAATGAAAAAGTAAGAAATAAAGTTGAACAAGTCGATAAATTATATGATAATAAAAACAGTCAATCAAACGAAAAAGTAAACTAAAAATAATTTATTGAATTAGAATTTTTTTTTGTCAAAATAAATTTATTTCTTAGGAACAAAAACAAAAAATGGCAACAACAAAACAAGATACATCTTCCGTAGATAATAAATAATTGTAATTGTTAACAATTAATTGTTATTTGTTTTGTTGAAAAAATAAAAATTTGTTCAACGGACGCGTCATTATAGAAATAACGCCTCATATTAATTATCATATAAATATCGTTTTTAGTTAAACCCATCTCCGTAATAAAAGATCCTTCTGAGAAGAATACTACACAGAACGTTATACACGACTCTAATTAATAAACTTCTCTCAAAATTCAAACTTTCATGTGTATACTTACATTAAAAGATGTCTACTTTCCAAGGTTTTGACCTGAAAAGTCTAAATTCAACAATGTCTCTAAGTTAAGCTCGATTGGACTTTTTCAAAAAAATCTTCTAAATTAAAAACTTCCGAAAATAACCAATAACACAATAGAAGACCGAATCTTCTATTGTGGAGAGGAGTCTAATTCTGATATAAACAATATCGTCTTCAATATCGACACTGAATTTCTCTTCCACAAAATATCTTATCTATCTCGTTTGAGACTATAATGTGGAATTTACATGTCTTATTTAGCTCTATTATAGTAATACAAAATACATAAAGTGTAAAATCTCTAAGAGGTCATAGGTATTTTTGCAACATAAATCAATTGTCATCAAACGCTCTATCTATCTTTATTATTGGCAGTGTTTCTATTCGCATGATATTTATTATCTTCTCATAAGTAATTATTGTAATTAGTCTAACCATTGATTTAATGGACAAATAAGTGTGTTGTATACATTTGTTTTATCTACAGACGATCTTAACGATCTATTATGTATCTCGATGAAGTCAGAATGGATAAAATTAATTATTACCAAAAGATAAAACATATTCAGTCCATGCTTTTGTGTTGGTCATATGACAGTTGTCAGAAATCATAACATCATCCTTGAAATCTTAAATTTAATTGTTTGTCTGTTCAAAAATCAGAAAATGCCTTATTTAGAATATTAAAAAGCGTATCGTCTTTAACCTCGATTGCTATGGTCAGTAATAGTTAGAGATAACGACTTTTATCCCTGATTGCTAGGGGCTAGGGAGAAGCTGCAAAAAAAATTCAATTTAAACTTCCACTCACTATTATTTTCTTCAAAAATATATGAGGCATATTCAGATTTCCAAAAAAAGTAAATTTCCATCGTAGCATAGTAATCCATCAAAAACAACAATTAGTAACTTATGGAAAATAACTAGTAAATTACCGAAATTTCCTTTAAAGTAGTATGCTTTGAAACAATTCGTTTTGATCGCTTCAATGGAAATTTCCGGAATTTTCAACTGGTATGTTATTTCTGTGGAAATAATTTCTGAAACCGGATAATTTATGAGAAAAATTTACTTTCATGGAAGTTGAATACTGCTGTCTTTATCACCATTGTTTTAAAAATTAATGTTTCATAAAACTATTGATTCATATTATCTATGTATACTAAAACGGGATTTTAACAGAACTGCAAAGATTTTATAATTTTTTATTCTTCCCGATAGCATGAACAAATTTATTGTAGTCTAATAAATCATTGTGTCAGTATACTTCAAACTTATTGCAGAATTCCAGGTGAAATTACATCAGATAGCACTAATATAATTTATATAGACATCAACATTTTTGAAACATGATTTTTTTTGTGAATTGTATTACCATTCATTTTTAAACACATATTATTAGATTCGAAAGACTTAACTCAAGCTATTCTGTATAAGTCTTTTAGTTATTTTCTTTGTTTAAAAATCTACTAAAAAATAAATAAATATTTCAAATTTATTGATCTTATAATACACAATATGAGTTATCACAATGTATATGAAATAGGCACAAAAAGAAAAGATTTTTTTAAATGTGTACACTACAATATGTAGGTATTTTTGATTTAATCACCGGTAGAATATCCTAAAAACAAAAGAATCATCATATCAAAAAATAAAGAAATAAATTTCTTTACTTTTTCACCATTTTCTTCAAAAATATTCAATGCATTTGTTACTGAATCTCGATATTTTCGATTAGACATTCGTTTTGCTAACTAAAAAATAAACAAGAAGAAAACATTGATAATTATTATCTTTAATACTTACAATACTTAAATAAGTTTTTAAATATTTATCTAATTCACTTCCAATGACTGTACTTAATTGTATTAATGCATTTAAAGCTCCTTCAAATACTTCATCATTATTTGAACTTAATGCCAATTTAATTGGATTAATTAACTGTGGTAAAAGTGGTAAAACTTTTGGTCGTGCATTAATATTTGACATAAGTTCTGTAAAACCTTGTCGACTAATAAATGGAAGTGGATGTGACGTTTCACGTAAACCTTCAGCTAATAAAATAAGTACAGGATCATAATTAAGATCATCAATTGATGTATTCCAAGCTAAACGATTTCGAACTGAACCATGTACAAGACGACAAGGAATTCTTCCTGATGTAAATGAATTTAAAAATGGAGAATTACTAGTAGAATTGGAAGTTGAAAAAGGATCGATGGTTTTTGGACATAATTTTGCTGATGGTCGTTTAAGAGGTGCAGCCATTAATCATAAATGTATGTCTATATTATGTTGCTAAGTAAAACAAATAGATCTGTTTCTTCTTTTTTTGTTGTTGCTGTGCTTCTTCATCACGTCAAGAGGTGGCAGTAGTTTCCAACTAATTTAAATAATTTTTGAAAATTTTTAAGAATAAATTTCTTTAATTTAAGTATGAGACTTTGATAAATATTATTCTTGTTTTTATTTGTTTTGAATTTTGAATAGAATAAATTTCTTATTTAGATTTTCAATGAAAACTTATAAAAACATTTTTGTTTTTCTATTCTTTCGACCTTCAAATTTACACCTATGAATGTAAATTCAATATTGTTTTTCACTCTTCAATAAACTGCTTGACCTAATTATGATATTATTCTTAATTATTTATTTTTATCTTAATTTTCAAAAGATTCAACAGAAAAATGAACGCTTCTTATTAAATATTTGTTTTTGATTGAGTCTACTTGGTAGTAATACTCAAATAACAAAAAAGCCTGACTTTTTCTTTTTATCCAAAATCCATTTAACGAAATCATATTGGACAAAAAAGAAAACACATCATGCACACACAATAATAATCTTGTAGTCATTGACAAACTTGAAGCACATAAAAGTACGTTGTATGATTGGTTGTCATATAGGTTACCTTGCATAAATGCGATAAGTATGTATCGTACCTCGTGTGTTTTCTCATGTCATCATTTGTGTCGGTGCATTTTTTAGAAGAACGTATAAATGGGTCGACGATCTTGCATACTTGCTTATTTATTTTTTCATTAGTACGTTTGAACTAAAGATTTACAAAATCTAGTGTATCTGGACATTTCTAATTTGCGTCAGTTACTCCTATGACGTGTTGTTACAAAATAGTTTTTGATCTTTATTCAGCCTAGTTTATTCCTGTACCAGTTATTTAGACGTTAATAATCATGAGTGGGGTTCTATAGTCTACAACAAGACCGTTAGTCAAATATATGAATAACGCGCATGCCTGATTTGTTTCCTATTTTTCTTTGCTGTTGGGCAACAAGAAAGGAAACAATATGAGTAATGTTGTTATTTCATTATGAATCCATGTCGACCGTTTTTTATATTAGAAAAAAAGAAAGAAAAGAGGTGTTTTAAACTTCTGTATATATATATATATATATATATATGAATGAATGTTTAATGTTTGTCTTCAGATTTCTTTTTATTCCATAATGGTGACATGTGTTGCGCAGCAATCTTCAACGCAATTATTATTAACTGGTTGCCCTCTGCATCTTCATGTGACAGAATATGACGCAAAAATGTCATCAGTGTCATGTCGAAAGCGGCTATTAAGCGAGCAAAATGATTATTACCCATGCTGTAAGGAATATTCTGATAATCAAAATGAAGTCAATAAAAGAACAAAAACAGGTAATTGCGTCATGCGAAAAATCTAATAAAGAAAAGAACAAAAATTTTCATATTGCTTTTTCACCTCTTTCTCGTTCGTTCTCTTACTTTCTATCGCCCACATTTCATGCATTGCCTCATACTACTACACATATTTTTTTAATTTTTTTTCGACCAATAGAAATATTTGGTCATGAATCAACTGACAAATTTCGTCGTCATAAGATACAAACTATTGCACCTGGATTATTGCGTCGTAAAAGCCTTACTCACTCAACATTCGCCTATATTAATAGCGTTTCTTCAACAGAAACGCATACACCTTTTTTGCGAGCCTTATCGAAAACGACAACAACATTAGAAAAAGACATGCTTCTTTGTCAACAAAAGCCTGTGATTGTTAACAATAATGAAATTGACAAAAATCTTAATTCAGTATTTTTAACATGTCCTCAATTAGCTGCTTATATAACTGCTATTACAAATGCTACCGATCGAACAATATTAGTAATTGATTGCGGTTCACCGTTACGACATACTGAAAGACGGATTCAAGGCTCAGTTTTATTAAATGTAAATGATAAAATATCTCGAAAACGTTTAGCAACTCGTGGTTTAAAAAATTTCTTAGATAATAATCAATTAAATCGTTTAAATAGCAATGAAATTATTATTTTATATGATGATTCTATTCGCTCAGCAACATTATGTGCTAATGAATCAATTCAATCTCAACTTTCACCATCAATGAAATGTGTTTATGATGAAATAAAACGATATGATGCGAATAAAACTATTTATATTCTTGGATCACCATTTGATGAATTTTATCAACATTATCCATCACTTTGCTATATTAGTACATCAACAGACGAAGATATTTCATCGCCGGCACCATTGACAGCCGCACCAATAGATATTGAATCATTTCAATTATCTGAAATTATACCTGGTCTTTATCTCGGTAGTGCACATGATGCTGAAAATGTAAATTTATTACAACAACATCAAATAAACGTTGTAATTAATGTATCAACTACAATTCCATGTTATTTTGAAAATGAAAACATATTTGAATATCGTCGAGTACCATGTCATGATTCATCTCATCAAAATATACTTCAATATTTTGAAACAACGTTTGAATATATTCATCGAAAATTATCAATAAACGAAGTCATTCTTGTACATTGCCAAGGTGGTGTTAGTCGTAGTCCATCATTTATTATTGGTTATTTAATGAAATATCATTCGAAAACATTTGACGAAGCTCATCGTCTTGTGAAAACTAAACGATCTATTATTAATCCAAATTTAAACTTTCTTGGGCAATTGACGCAATATGAACAATTGTCGACTAGTGCTTAGTTAAATTTGTTTTTTTTTCATTAAGTTTGTTTTGTATATGTATACTTTTTTTGGAATGTACAGTGTGTCAGATAGTGTATGCTTTTGTATGGAATAGTAACGAAATTTTGTATTCCACTATTCTTATATGTCAAATACATGCATATCTATCAATGATTTGTTAATAGTAATGAAGTAACTTTCATTGACTCTGATGCCTTTTCTCACAAAACGCCTATTTTAATGTAAATATAATCAAGAAAATATAAATTGATCTATCTTCATCTTGACTTCAAAATGCACATTGAAATATCAACTCAAGTAAATATCTTGTCGAATAGATGTTACAAATTTATTGAGTTAACATTAATTATGAATTATTTTCTTCTCTCAAAAATATTTTCAAAGTTACGATTATTAACATTTGTTTATTAGCCTCCAATCACAATAGAAGATTCTTTTTTTTTTTTTTGAGGAACAAAACACCACACGTAATAGAAGAATCCTTTTAATTAATTGATTTCTTGATAAATTACAACTTAAATTAGTATATCTACATTAGAAATGTATAGTTTTGGCTTGATGTAAAAAGGTCGTAAAAAGAAAAATAATACCGAACAAGCAAAGTCGAAATTCCAAAAAAACAAGATTACGAAAGAGAACAAAATCAAAAAAACTATTCTCGAAACAAAAAAAAACTAGAGCAGTTAAGAGCGCATGACATCGATGTCATCATCAATTCACCTGTGTTTCTACTTAATATTTTATTTTCAAAATATATAGCATTGATGTAACAAATTAGCACAATCATAAAAAGGTGAATAATAAAATAGCCTTTGGATGCGTGGGTGTGAGTATGAATGGATCTCAGCGTAGATTAGCATATTCTCCTCATACACCCATGCTCACACCTTCCCCACTGGGCGTACGAAAAATGAAAGAAAAATTTTCGATTGGTAGGAATGTTTACATGAAACTAGCCCAGTGGAAATAGAATGAAAGGACATCTCTCGAAATATCATTTTCAGAATTTTAACTGTTCGAAATTTTATTTTATTCGGCACTTTCTATTTCGAGACTTTACTTTTTCGATACTTTGGAATATGATATTTTTGTGTTCAAATTTTTTTTGTCAGGATTTCCCTTGTTCAGAGTTTTGTCTTTGGAACTTTTTACAGTAATTCGTAGTTTTCAGAGTATTGAACTGAAAAATCATAAGAAGTTTAAGATCAATATTTTTTTTTCTAGACTGTTAAAACTTAAATAGTCTCTTTTCGAATTCTTAAAATCGTTTTTGGTTTTCTTAAAAAGACCTTTTTCAATAAAAATTATGAAAATAAATGATTCACAATAGAATACTCGGGGTCTTCTGTTGCAAGCGAGGAGAAAATTCTACAGTATTTCGTAAATAGTGCATGTCAACTGCTATTGATTAATGATGTTATAGTCAATTATCGACAAAACCATGTCTAGTCATTATTCATTCTTGAGTGATTTACTACATAGCAATATTTATCTATGATGAATAATATCAACGAACCATGATGCTAATAATAAATTTTTTATTGAATACTATTATTATCAAGCATAAACAAAAGTTAGAATAGTTGAAGATATGGGCGTGGATGTATAACTGATAAAAACGGATAGGGTATCGATGTGCTCGTGTTTTAAGATAAGATTGATATCCACCGCCATGTCTGCACCTCTACCAATACTCCACAGTTACGCCCATATTCACACCCATATCCACACCCACATCGGCAATCCATTGTTTTGTATCTATGGCAAAAAGTCGAATGAAGGTACTTAGACATACATAGAGTTGGTAATACATAGACGCACTCAACTATATAAGAGCCAACTCCAACTTAGAAAATAATATATTTAAATATTCGATATGATATTATTAAATAATCTATTATTACGAGCATTGTTCTGTTCATTGAAGTATTAGGCAATCAAGATTCTTCTAAATAGAGAAGTTTTTTGCAGAATACCTTGAAAAAAACCTTGCAGAAAAGAAATACGGAATAGATAGACGGCTTTTTCTATTTTGACAAATTTTATACAAAACAAATCAGACCAATCGCTATGTTTTTTTTTTATTACAAAATAAGTTTTCTTTAGTATTGCTACAGATTTTATTGTTGATGCAAAAGCTTATCTTTTGAAGTGAAAAAATAAAGATTGTTTCTTTCGAATAAAAAATAAACCAATGAAACCATTTAAATGACAGGTTTATTCTTTACTTTCTTTTTCTTATCTAAAACGCTTGACTCGAAAAAAAGATTAAAATCCTTTTTACCTATTTTATTTCAATAATAAGACAAAAATCATATTTCTATCACATGAGGAAAATAAGTCTTGAAATGTACAGAAATTTTGATTTTATTAAAAATATATAAATTATTAAATTTCGAACAATTGATTCGTATTGTTTCTCTTGTGAAATGGTGTGTGTCATCTTTCGTAAAGAATGATAATCGACAAATAGGAATATACTATTTGATATAGAGTTTTTGGTATTATCGAGGAAATGCTCGACGCGTAATCAATAAAATCATAGAAAAGAAAAGTTCGATAAGAAGAGGATATGTGGCGATTGATAAACATTGATTATTGCCATTTAATGTTCGACACTATTTGTGTTTTTGAACTTTTTAATTAATTACAGATGAAATTTTAAGAAATGGAAATGATGTTTCTGAAAGTTGAAGGAAAATTTCATATTCAAAAGGATGTTCACAAATGCATTTAAATAATTCGTTTGGAAACTATTTTTTTTTTGATACTTCTATAATGTGTCATTGAATATGGATATGAATAAAATATGACACTTACCTGTTTCCTTTCTTTGAAAATAATCAACACAAGAAATAACTTCACTATTTATAAAATTTTTAAATGTATATTGAATTTCTTCACTTAATATTCAATAAGGTTGACTGTGAAGATACATAACTAATTGAATATAAAATACAAATTTGTTTAATCTTGGTAAATGATTTATAATATTCTTCTTTAAATTATTTCCATCAATGAATATTTCAGTGCTATAGACAACGAGATCTAAAACGAATTCTTACAGATTTAGCATTCGATGTAGAATTAGCATTATTAAATTCACATAAAAAATTGTATTACTAGCACCTGTTAGAGAAAAAAGATCATAAATTAGAAAGTTCTTCATTAAAAGACAAAGGAATACATTCGAAATATTATTTTAAAAAAATATTTAAATGACTCTCTCAACCAGTGTTTTATTCAAGTTGTCTTTTTTGGAAAGACAATTTAAAACTACAAGAGAGCAAATACCAATTTTTAGCAGTACAGACACAAAGTAGTATGTGGTACAATAACCACAAATTCTGAGAGGACCAACCAGATCTTTAGAGGGACGCCTCCTCCTTGGTAGCCCACGCTGGATAAAACACTGCGCTCAGTAAATGATTTATTTGTTTTGATGATAATTGTCTTACGTTTAAAAATTAATTTTATTATTAATCATTATAAATGAACGATCAACTAAGTTTGTAGACGTTTAAATTTCTCTTTGTTTAATGAGGTTTTTGGATATGTTATATTTTTGATCATTTTTATTTTTAGATACTTTTTGTGTTTTGATGATTGAAACAATCATCATTACAATTTTTCTTACCAATAAACAAATGTTTAAATGTCTCTTCTTCAATACTATACAAGACAAATTCAAATGAATTAAGATAATTCACAGCACGAAGAATACGTTCCATAGAATATGATTCAAGATTAAGCCATTAGAATTTAAAATAAACTTCAGGTACGATCACTGGCCAATAGTTGATCAGTTATTGCATCGATTAGTGGATAGATAACAATATTGGATTATCATCGTTAGCAATGTTAAACAACTAGTCAAGACTAGATCACCTACGATTATATAGATTTACATATTAATGCCTCTTAAAGAATTGAGTACATCAATATGGTTTCATTTTTTAAAAACAGTTATAAATTATTGACCTTAGTAGTCAAAAATTTTTTAAACTACAGTATTTATTGTTGTTTTTCTGTTATAGTGGCAATGGTTGTTGATATCTTAGAAATATTTTGCAACAGTTGTCGACCATTTGATCGATTGGCTTATACCTTTATATGCATTGACACTGCTGCAGGTCGAGATAAATTGTAGTGGCATGAATGATAGCAGTCTCATCAACATCATTCCAGGTAAATATCAGTGGAGAGAGAATTTCTGCTGTTATGGGCGTGACTTGTGTCATTTTCATTGATAAATATCGTGATACATATTGAATGAGACTACAATTATAAAATAGATTATAATTGTCATTAATATGATTATGATACTTGTATAAAAACTAACAATCATAAGCAATTATGGCTTATGAATATATACTTCTAAAAATATTTGTTTTCCTTGCCATAATTATACTATGATAGGTGTCAGATGTAAGAAATAAAATACCTTGTATACTTATTTGACACAGTATTTTTAAAACAATTTCTCAATCTTTTTTTCAACACTTAGAACAACAAGAAAAACGGATAAGATATAGCAAAATAAGCCATGAATGAATGACAATGAAGACCAGATTATCATTAAGTTCATTTATTACAATTCTTAATTATAATATTAAGAAGAATCTTGTTTTCATTCTAGTGTCGGATTCATACTGATAAAGAAGAGATCTTTTCTTTTGTTCTTCTTAACTGTTATGCATATGATAAACAATCAAAATAAAGATGAATTTTCAGATAACTTCTTTGCTGATTAGTAGTTTTTCATAAAATCAAATATTCTTTCTCTGTTCTAATGACTTTTTCTGTACAAAGATACGATAGAGAAAAAATTTTTTGTAGATTCTCCGATTAGGGGGCAGTGCAAAACATGTTTAATAGCGTTTCCTATGTTAACGTCATTAGAGGTTTTTGAATTTCAAACATTTCTATCATCTCCAGATTGATTGGAAAAAAACTCAATCAAACAATGAATATTAGTCGACTTCATAGTTCTGATTACTTTTAAAAAGTATATTAAGAAAAAAAATTTTTTTTTTCGAAAGTCTGTAGGGGCCCACATGACTCAGAAACACTTGTTGTTTCAAGTGAAATGACTACGTCAGATATGTTGACCATACTGAACTTTTTATTCTCTTACAACACTCTTACTTGTAAATATTTCGAGTTGGAAAGTAGTTTTAATGTAACAAGTTCTTTCTTTTCTTATCTATTATAATTAATTCTACAAAGAAAACTGAAAATATGAGACGGCAGTAAAGCCTGCTCTATCTATGTCGTTATGTTCTTAGCGACATATTTTATTCTATTAACAGCGAGTTGTATGTAAATGATACCAATCTTAGCATCATATGCTCAAAAGACAAAACATTAGCACTTGAACGTTTGTCTTCTCTTTCGTTATATTATTATTCATTTGACTTTATTGGATGAAAAACACAAATTTAATAATGAAAACTTCACAAAAAATAATCATAACTAAAAATAATTGGAAAAAAGTTTATTTATATATTTATCTGAATTTCTAGCTCTCATTATTTATGAATCTATAGGGTAGATAGAAGATTATGATAACATTCCTCACGTTCTAAATACGAATTTACATTAATTTGTATCTAATCAGATACATAGCATCTTCTCTTTCGAGCATAATATTACTGCCCATATTTTAGACGACGATCAATAGATGCCATCGAAACAATGTGCTAGATCAATTCTTGAATATTGTCCAAAAAAAGTAAAAAGTTCAACATCACTAAATTCACTCATAGAACTACACATCTAAAACATTTTCTTACTTGAACTTTGCTCAGTCCCATGTCAAGGCAATATTTAAAAACGTTTGCTTAAGATAACAAGTAAATTTCCACTGAGCCTTATCATATTTAAAAAAAGAACCATTCCGTTACCCCCTGAGTCAATTATTGCATAAACTTATGTAATCGATTCTACATCGATCGATACAATTTGATTTCTTTCATCACATTCATGAAAAGAAACATTACACTGACATTAATCTTTCATATGTTCAAGTATTTTTCAAGATACTAATCAATACTTTGTTCATTATTTCAAAATAGAAAGCAAAAACCAGATAAGTATTCACGAAATTCATACAGAAGAATATATTTAGATATGCTTTTTTTATTCGACTATCAGTTCGATTTTCGTTTAATTTCATCATCAATGTTTACAAAATGACAAGAATTTGCATCAAAACATAGATATTTCGGTGGACAATTAAAACATTTTATACCTATTTAACAAAAACAACATTAGATAAAATTTAAGATTAATTTCTATACAAACCATCACATGGAGGTTTAACCCACGAAGGAATATGACAAGGCGATTTTTCGGATTTAATACATGATGGACAATTAAATTGACGTTCTGGCAATGTCACAATACCACCTTGGCAATCTTTTATAAATTTGTCTAATTTATTATGACGTGATTCAAGACATGTGCCTTCGATATTCTTCGTACCAGTCTTACACGACATGTGTTAATCGAGAACAGTAATATATCAAAAACAGTCGCAAAAAAAATTCAAAGGAATCACAAAAATATATAAAGGCGCTCAAGTCATATCATCATTTATGTAGTATAAATAATTCATCTTCGAAAATTGTAAATAAGTTGTTTTAAACATTAGTGTTTTTCATCTTTATCTTTCAATCGATATCATTCAAATTCTTCATTTGTTGATCTTTCTACTAAATTGATTTGATTCTGATCAGTCGTGCAGAATCTACCCGTGTGTGCCAACAGCTATTGGGGGAAATTATTGAAAATCTATTAGCATCTGGAGAAATTTTCGATGATTTAGTGGCACCTGAGAAATTCTTTTGATAAATATTTTCCATCATAGGGAGAATTTTACAATTTTTGAAATTATTCTCGGTTTATTTATGCGTGCATTGATAAGATCTTCTACTGGTCTATTTTCTTTTCTTCTCATTAAACTTCTCGAAGAGCTATGCGTGTCTTTATTTTAGTATCAGTATCGTCTACCTTTGTTTACGTTCATCATGCATATTGCTACCGCCTTCATACTGTCTCTTTGTGCCTATTCATAATAAAATATGCATTAGTTGTATTCTCTTTTCTTCTTTCTGTACTTTTCCTAATAGACTTTTATTACTGACCGTGTTTCTCTGTTGCTACATACAGTTGCTATTGCGTGTGCGTATGGGTACACAACCACTATGATAACTAATTTATGGCCATTATTAACCGAATCGAACTATTTTTTCTTCGATTCGAGTTCAATTCAATTCAAATTCACTTTTGAAAAATCAATTTGCATTCCATTGAATTCGACTTCATTTTTGAAAAAGTGGCTCGATTTTAATTTCATTTGAGAAATCTTAGTCCCCTCTATCAGAAAAGCATGATAGAGAGAAACTTGATTCCAGAACAATAAGAGTGCGATTTATAGTTAATATAAATATAAGTGAATACTAACTAATACAGTTGTGGATTAAAATAAAACTTTTTAGTCTTAGTACTTAAGCATCAGCAGTCTTTTTAATGTTAATATTAATCTCAAAGCAGTAGAGATGATTGCTTATTGTAATACAGAAAAATGGAAATATGTAAAAGAGAAAAGAATAGAAACAATATTCCGCACAGAAATAACCCATCTTCAAAAATACACAATTAGTGCAAACGTTATGAAAAGAAATAGTCCTGTATCATATGATTATTAAATTACGCATGTAAAACAATAGACCAAGACTCTTTTCGAATTGGTCAACCGCATTATATTTTTACAAAAATTGTTTATAGTTCTATCAGTCAATATTTATTGAGGGCTTCATTATGTTCAATTATCTTTTCAAAATTAGTTTGGATACGATTTGAGTTGACTTGATTTTAAAAAAAAGTAATTTAAATAGTAGAAAAATACTCAAACAAACAACAGGTATCACGTTTTTATTATGAATGGGTCGGGTGAAAAGATAAAACAAAAAACAAACATTATAAAAAAGCTATCCTGAAGAAAAATTTACATTGAAGGTTTTAGAAAACAACTTGACGGAACAGAATTTTCTTAGTTTAAATCATTTACGAAAAGAACTAATAGCAAAATTATGTGAAGCAAACCATATTGAATAATAGCATTCTTTTTTTTTAAATTTGTAATTGCAATGTGTTCAATAGCGATAGGATTCTTTTTGAATAAATATCTTAAACGAGAAAGCTCGTTATCTAATTGAATTTTATAGTCGGAAAATTTTTATTTCACCGGCAGATTCTGTACCGCTGATTCTGATACTTCAATGTTCAATCTAAACTTTTCGAAAGGAAACAAAACGACGTGTTTTCTTTTTTTTGTCAATACGAGTATTACATAAATTGATCAAATAATTAATATGCAAAAATATGCTGAGAAAATTTTTCTTCATCACGAAAAACTGTGAAATTAAAGATGACGCAAAAATGATGAAAAAAACAATGAAGCATCTGATAATCAATGATTGTATTCCTTAACATTTGATTATTGAAAAGAAATCAAAATTTGCACACAGTTTGCATTTATATACAGCATATAATCGAATGAAATACACCAACACAAATAAAAATCAAAGGCCCAAACGTTTCTCACCACACTCACAACAAAATTTTGCCCATTCAACAGGAAAAGCTTTACCACATTCATGGCAATGTTTCGCTGCTGTGGGTGCTCGTGAATTTTGTTGTTGTTGCTGCTGATGTTGTTGTTGTTGTAAAAACTCATTAGCTTGTGATGGTCGACGTGCTGGACTTGGCGATCGTGTTCTAAGTCCTGATGTACGTCTTTGTAATTGTGGTGAAGCATCACTTTTTTGTTGTCCTCGTCCCGTTCCTGCCAAAATATTTAAATCATCATTTTCAATATTTCGACCTGTACGCATCATGCCAGGTAGATAAGCACCTGTTGCACTACGTGTTTTTGTTGTTCGATTACTACCATATTTAGGCGGTGTACCATTTCTATTATTTGTTGCTGTCTAAAAATTAAATTATCAATGACAAAATCACTGTAATCCATTGTTTTAGCATAAAATGTAGAGATTATGGATCCACTTAGACTTGTGTCGAGCTCAACTCAACACCGAGCAGCTTGGACTCGGTCAGTCTCGATTTATTTTGTAGTTTCTATACATCAGCAGCAGAAATATGTTAAGTTTTAACATGAAGATTGAATGCTTTTCTATGCAGATGTTTTTCTATGTTTAAGAAATCTTGATTAGTTACAAAAGATTATGTGAAGAAAGACAGTGAAAAAAAATACATCGCTCATTCGAGGCTAAGTTACTTGGGCTCGGTACAGACCTAGGTTAAGTAAAGTTATGCAAGTATTGACCGACTGTACAAAAGTAGACATGCAATAATACAAATAAAAATATCAAACGAACATATAAAGTGTTCATATATCGGTTAAGTTTGTTTCTAATACAATTTTGAATAGTATTTGTTGATGAATCATATTATGATTCATCGATCCAATTTTCTAGTCTAACTTGTGACTGTGATATTCTATGAATCGTTAGGTTATAGTGTTGATTTTAAAACAGTTTTCAATTTGATACATTATCAAAAAGAAAATTGCAAAACAAAAAGAATCTAAAGTAACAAAGTAAATTAGACAATGTACTCAATGAAGCATAGAATGATTCATACTATTAAAAAATGTATTAAAAAATGAACTCCAATGATATGTAATCACATCATATCTATCGTTTGATATTTTTATTTGTATTATTACGCGTCTACTTTTCTACTATTTATCTATATCTGCATAACTTTACTGAACTCATAATCACTATATTTCATTTTAAAAGAAAGAATCACAATGATTTTTTCAGTTGAGAAAATGATCATTTTTACAAAATAATGTTTTTGTTAAATACCTCGCCAAAATTAGTTTTCTTAAATGTATTTGGATTCAATGGTGGTCTTCGATAATCTTTTTCATCATTGGTTCTAAAAATTTTGTTTTTCATGTAAATTTAACGAGAAAAAGTTTTCTATAAGTTACTTTTGAGGACGTCGTGATATAATGGTAGAAGGTGCTGAATTGATTTGATGTTGTTTATTAGCACTTCCTGTAGGTGAATCAAGATCTGAAAATTCAAAAGAAATTTTCTTTAAAAACTATTTCCTATCAACTCACTATACTGCTGTTGATGTGCCTATATTAAAAAAAATTAAAAATAAAAATATTTTTCTATCATTATTAATGGACAACTAACTCGTCCTTGTCGACCTATACTTCCACCAGCAGTACGTGCATTATTTGCTGCTGCATATTGCATCTGTTTTCGTTTATACTGAGTTTCACAACTGATCGATAATTTAAAAACAGATTAGATACTTCAATAGAAAAAAAAAAGAAATCATACAAAGGAATGTGTCGTTCAGCTGAATGTTTATTAAAATGACGTTGACAAAATTCACATTGAACATAATCACTTGGAATTTGGGGTGGTGTTTGTTTTGGTAATGGGGCACCGGTTTCCATGGCTCGTGTTATTTGTCGAGCTTCACGAATTGTACGTACTAATGCATTATGGCCTTCTCGCCAATTAATTGGTCTTTTCTTCTGAATATCCTGTTTAGGCTTTGTACCTTCATAATAAAACTAAAATTTATTATGAAATAATTAAATGTTTTTTTTTGAATAAATATTCGAAAAATTTGTTGATATTTTTCTTGACTGTTTATCAAACCTGTGTAGTTTCTTTGGTTGCTGCATAAGGCACATCAGAATCTGTAGCACGTTGTTTACCCGTATCAAAAACTTTTCGCGGTTGTTTTTGGACAGTTTTTCTGCAAATCGGTTGATGTTTACGCTAATGATTTAGGAAACAACAAAATGAGTCATCATATATTTTTTTTTCGACTGAAAATTTCTGTCTACCAAAGATTCGGCATTAAAGTTACGACCGCAGTTTGAACATGGATAAAGTTGTACATCGGCATAGACAGGAATTGATATATCATCGTTCACTTGATAGGAGCTTTCAACGAAGCCGTTCTTGTCTCTTCCATACATGTCACTATCGACGTCCATCACGTTGCATAGCACAGAACTCTTTATTGTTCTTTTTCTCTTTTCTTGTTCTCTTTCATTCCGTTTTGCTTCAAAAAATTTTTTTTTTCTTCAGTTACAGTAATGAAAAAGAATTGTAAGAAAAAGTAATAATATTGTTTTCTTGCTCACATGAAAAGTTATTAGAAGAAGAAGAAAAAAAAACTAATTTTCATTTAAAAGAAATAAAAAAAAGAGACGTGAATTTTATTTCATAGATGTCTCCTTTTTACGTATATCTTGAAAACAAAGATAAATCCATAAATTCTAAGTCTTTTGAGACAGTAATTATCGTTTAATTATCGACAGATAACGACTAGCTGTGTGTTCGAATGATTAAGCATTGTTTTAGACCCAATTATTTCAACATTTGTTTGTATGGCTAACATAAGAAACAGATCGAACACAATAGAAGAATGGATTGAATCAAGCTATATTTTTCAATTGATCGAAGATGAAGCGTTAATCCGATGTTACATTTTCATTTATAATGTATTGTTATGCTTACGATCGTCGATTGATTTCATGCTCTACAGAAGAAACACTACTTGATGGATTCTAATGGAATTTTCTTTGAATGTATTAATATGAATTATTTTTCTCATATCAAATTTATTTCTCTCATCAAATCGATGTTCATGTTATCAGTGTTTTGAATTTCGAGAGAATTTTCTATTGAATAACAAATAGTTGTTTGTTTTAAATATCATCTATTACCAACAGTTCGACAAATAATGAAATCAAAACAAATGTTACCAATGAAAAACATGTCTTTTTTTCTTTTGAAAGAAAACAAAAAAAAAACAGAGCATTTCATCTTGATTTATATGGAAAATTTAGTAATAGCCTATTTAAATTAATAAGTCATATATAAAATGAAAATTGTTGGCATTCAGTATGATTTCAGGGACATTCATCATGAATATTTTAGTTCAATTATTTAAATTAAACAAAATTAGTCTGTCAAAATTGAAAATTTTCTTTGACAATTTGTTTCTTTTTACTCGAAATTTACATGATAAAATCAACTAGTTTGTTAAGTTATTTTCTTCAATTTAATCTAATTTCATACTGCTTTTCGAATACTAACATGTTGGTTTTGTCTTAGAAAACTATTCATTTAAACATACAGTTTTTCATTTACTTTACAGTCAACATTCTATTCAATCAGTTGAAGAATCTATTGAACAAATAGCAAGTTTTAGTTTAACTAAATTATGATTATTTTTACAAATCTCATTCTCTGTTGATATGAATGAATCGATGAAATAGATTTCAAAAAGTTGTATAATGACCAAAACATAATATAAAAATTTTTATTCTTGAATAATATAATATATTCATATAAAACTTAATTTAAGGATATCATTAAATGTTCTCACCGTATTTATATTTATTGTAAATCATCTAATATTTTTACTAGACGTAAACGATCAGCTAAAATATTTGGTTCACTGTCTGAACGTTGTTTTGGATGAAAATAAGTTGATGTTGGAGGATTGATATGAATTGTTATACCTGTTATATCTCTACTGGAGTTTGTTTGAGGATTTGTAAGCGTTTGACGAAGATAGCATAGATCATCGTAAAGAGATGTTAATTGTTCTGTCAATTCAAGGTTATCTTGACGCATAAGAATCTTAATAAAAATATCTTCAGTTAATGAAAATATTTAATTTGTATAGGTTCTACTGATAAGACTTATTTTAGAAAAACAAGGATCCATTAGCCTGTCTTTTTAGATCATGAAAAGAAATATCGTTATCGTCTTCTATTCTGTCGACGTTTGATAAGCACCTGATAACCATTAGTTTCTAATTGATAGATAGACAATCATATCTATGCGTCTTCTGTAATGATAAATAGAGTCAATGATAGATCAAATTTATTTTGGAAAAACAAAACTCTTGTATTCATTTATCTTTATGATATATACAGTTTCTTCATAGAATTTGTTATTTCCAAAAAAGATTTCTCAAAAACATTGAAATGTTTAAAGAGAAAACTATGTATAATGAAAACATCCTCTAACCTTTTCTGAAGCTGATCTACTATTTTAACGATATTCTAAATAATATGACAGAAAAAATACATACTAGTTGTTCGTATATTTGTTCGATCAATGATGATATATTGTCTTCATTCGTTTGATATTGTTCTTCTTCGTCTTCGTCTTCGTCTTCATCTTCATCTTCGTCTTCTTCTTCTTCTATTGAGTCATCATTTTGCTTTTCTACATCAGCCATTTTATTTATTAAAAAACAAGTGAAAATTCTTGGTTTGTTAGTTAGAGTGATTGTTGTTGTTTCGTTCTTGATTGTCTCGTCGTATTACCGTCACCTCTCATCTCATCTGGTTTTTATTCTCGTCATCGTTGTCTCTACAACTCAATCGACACGTACATACTAAACAATACATTGGCTCGTCTCGCACATACTTACATAGAAACGCGCATTCGTTTTGCGTCGCATCTTCTCTTTTTTTTCCTGCTGTCTCAATGTGTTGTACATTTGTCGTTGATGCATTATATAAGATATAAGGAAGGAAGCCAAGATTCCATCTGCAAGCAATCATTTCTAATGCTTCTTAATCGATAAAGACAGAAAGAAATGAGGAGTATGGGTGTATTCGTGCAATAATACTATTAAACATACATTCTATTTTCGGTTTCAATTGAAACAGTAAGACACTGATTTATATGTCAATCATCAATTACATGTTTTATTTTTGGAGTTTTATATAACATAGAGAAAAAGATGATTCGATTCTCTTGGCTGAAAAATTATTCGGATCATTTATCAAATACTTCAAGGTTTATATTTCCTAGACTGTAAAGATAGAATCTAGCAACTGGAAGCCTATCTGTGTCTTTGTGTCTGTCTGCCTGTCTGTCTATGTGTAACATGGTTATGATGATCATTCGATAACTATGGTACAAATTACTAGTTGATAACTATACTTCAAACGATAGTGTAGGAGATTATCAAGACGATGTATAGTCACTACGATTGAAATTAACCGACAGGAGGACTTATATATGAAAATGGTGAGTGTTGTTAAATTATTTAATGTAATTGGATTTATCATAAACAAAGAAAAATCAAATTCTTTAAATAATGTGTTATTAATTTTTTGAGTACAAATAGTGTTTATGGTAACTAATTATAAAAAAAAATTGTGTTGTTGTTATCAACAATATCGTTATAATTCAATTATTAAATATAATTATATTTTATTTGAAAGATGAATATCGGATCAGGAGATGTAGACATTGAAATAACAGAACATTTGTATACGTAATAGCTCATGACACTTATTGCAGATGTTTTTGATTGTTCTATGTAGTATATCTTCTTTCATGGAGTAACAAATTTACATTTAATTATAAATGTTCTGCTATATATTAATGTCCACAAAATGTAGATAGTTAGGAAAAGCAAGAACTTGCTAATATTTCCCCAAACTTTTTCAGAGAAAGCAACTGTTACATCTTGTAATGCTAATGTGTCATCCATATTTATTAATTCACGTTTATATCTATATGCAACTATATGCGTATGGGTATTTCTTCAGTTTACGACCAAGTAAATTGATACAGGTATATGTGAGGAGAAATAGAATATTATTGTTTTTCTTTTGAAAGATTTTAGTTGAATTTGTAATGAAAAAAAATCTTTCTAGCGTAACATTTTTAAGAAATAAAATAACGATAAGTAATTATCTATGGCTGATTATTATTTGTCATTAACCCTTTCTGATCTTATGGAGACGATTTTATAAAAAATTGATTCTCTTCAATTATGAGCATTTAGAAACATATTTTATATCAAATTAAAGGCTATCTGGAAAGTGTGGGTGAGTGCAATTGGATTGGTGCATTATGTTTAGCCACACCTACAGCGTATGAGACGAATGCGGTATTCCTCCATACATATGAGTCATATTGTCATGGGTGCTTTGTTATAAATTTCCGAAATTTTTTCAAACAAAAAAAAAAAAGAATAACGAATGTATTACGTATTTAATATATTGGTGCTGAACGAATTTGGTTCAAAATTTTCCTGTGTCTGTTATGAATCATAAAATTGATGTTATTGAGTATATTGTCCTTCCGAATCGTCAGATTTAGCCCAAGGAAAGAAATGATTAAGTTGATTTATATTAATAACATTTTATTTTATTAAATTATAATGAATGATTGGCACTTTTTTTCTTCTACATTACAGACTAAAATAGCTACTGATTTTTTTTAATAAAAATGAAAGTCAATTATTTATCATAGACTAATAAACGTTTTAGTTTATTTTATATATTAAAACTTATAAGATTTCAATCATATATAAAATTTTTAAAAACGATATTTTTACATTCTCAGCAGTATTGATCATTATTATATAAATAGATAAATATAGGTCACCATGTTTTGATATTTCTTATTCTACTTGCTGCAATGTGTCAATCATTTGTTTTGTACATCAAATATGTATGTATAGTAAAATATTTCTTAGTTTATATCATGTATGTGAGTTCCATATTTTACCTCCAAAAGAGCTGACCTGAGAAGCTTTTTTATTATGTTTAGATTTACCAACATGGTCATCAAAGAAAAAGAAAAGAAAACATATGAGATCAAGGATAATATTTTTTTTTTTATTAAAAAACTGCACGTCTGAATCTTCATTCTGTATAGAATATTAATAAATTTTCAGTCTAAATAACTCAACTTATTACTTAAATTTCTTGTACTTGTTCTTGATTAAATTCAGCAAGACGTTTTAGAAAAGTTTCAACACGTTCTGATAAAATAGCATCATTGATTATTTGCTGATTTCGATAAAAATTTTTTATTCGTGATTGTTTAGCTGTAATAAGTGCCGTTCGTACACGTTCAATTTTTGATTTCGTCATTATTATATTTATATCACGATCTTTTGGATCATAATTTGGTACTTTACCTGTACGAACAGCTAATTGTAATTGACGATAACGTTTAGCAAAAACAGAATCATTTATAATATGTTCTTCAATTATATCTGGTGTAACGAATGCTTCGAGTTCTTTTCGTCGTCGAATTGATTCTTGATACTGTTGTTGAAGTTCAAGATCAAATTGTTTTTTGATTGATTCTTTTTTTGTTTTACGTTTTTCAGCAAGCCAATTTAAAAATTGTTGACGAGCTTCATCCTCATTTTGTAAAGCAAAAACTTTTAATCTAATTGGCCATGTTATACGATGCATAGTTGATTGAACACTTGGTGTTATTGTATCGGGATTATTAGTAGGTAATTCAGGTGAATGTTGAGGAATATTTGTACTTGAAACAGCAGGTGTTGCACGACTATGTGAACTTTTATTTGATGTTATACATGAAACAGAAGTTGATATTGCTTCATCATCACTTTCAATATCTTCATGATGAACAGTTTGAAGAGGTGCAGTATGTGATCGAGGCAATACTGACGCTGATTTAGCACGAGATTGATTATTTTCACGATTAGAACGAGTTAAATCCGAATGAATTTCAGGTGCACGTGAACGAACATGAGGACCAGCTGATTGAAGCTAAATATTAAAAAGATTTAAACTTTATTTAAAGCTTAATTAACTAGTATTAATGTTTTTCTCAAGTGAAATTGCATATAATGACTTACTCGTGTACCAAACCGATATAAATCTTTCGGTGTAGAAAGATCAACCGGTTCATAAGATGGTGAAAGTGCAAGAGAACTATCGATAACGTATTTTTCTTGTTTTAACTCAGTTAATATATTTTCTTTTTGAGCTCGTTGTGTAGCTTGTTCACGTTTATGTGCATTTTCTATTGTTGATAAAATAAGATTTCGTCGATTTGCTTCAACTCGATTTCGACAGACGAGTCTTCGCTCATTAAATACTTGTTGTATAATACGAAGACGAACTTTAGTTAATGTTTCTTGTGATGGTGATGAACCAGCTGCAGCATTGATTTTTCGTTGACCAAATATAAGTAAATCGAATGGTGCTGACATTTATTTATTAATATTTTACTTTTTGAATGCGATGAAGAAAATAAATAATGAAACTATGAAATTTTCAATATTTCGAATTAAACATTGAGATTCATAACAAACTAAAGAGTATGGCATTTTATTCGCCACAGGAGATGAAGAGAACAAGGATGAGAGAAGGAAAAATATTTTATAATAAAAATAGCTTTAAAAAAAGTGAAATATTGTGATTTGAGAGGAAAAAAAAATAATAGTTAATAGTATTTTTATTTGATTCTTGTTTTTGTATAATTGCTTCATGTTTTCAAAATATAACAATCAACTGTAGTGCTGAGTCTTTTTTGAAATAAATTTTTTTTTTACATATTCAAAATATTTACTTCCTTTCATATTAAAAAAAAAAGAAACTATTTAAGAAACACTTAATAGTTCAATAGTAAAAACCAAGGGGTGGGGCGAATATGCGAAGCAGAAAAACACTCTTCCTTTCTTTCAACGTATGTAAATATTAAATTAATGAAAAATTAAATAACACTAAATAATAATTTTATATCGAAATTTTACCTTTCTATTCATAAAAAATTCATCAACATTACAAATAATTCTTTGATTATAATTTAAACATTTTCTAAAATCATGCATAGTTGTTTGTAATTTACATGCATCAATATTATGATGACCATCAATATGTTTGCTAATAAGTTTAAGACGATTATGTTCAAGTTTATTACGCATTGTTGCATAGTATTCATTTTTTGTTAATGTAACTTTTGTTACTAAAATGTTATAATCATCATTATCATCAATATCACTAACTTTTGAAGAGATTTGCATTTTATAGACGTTTTAATTCAAAGAAAATCAATTTAACAATGAAAGTGAAATAGAAAAAAAAGTGGAAATAGAAATAGAAGCAAAAAGAAAAGAGCGAGCACAGGTAATTGTACCAACGAATCAACGTTGACTGCTTTAGGGTAATCGACTTAATGCCATTATATGAGCCATCACTGAACGTCGGTTTAAAGAATAATGTTTTCATTGTTTTTTTACGATAAATTTTTATAGAGAAGTCTGTGTCTAGAAGGACGAAACAATTTTACAGAGTCATAAAATTAGGAAATGATACCTTGATTTTAGAATGTTCTTATAATGGTAAAGACTCAATAGAAAATCGCTGTTTTTTTTTTGTTTTCAGGGAATCGGTATTTGTAATTTTAAGAGCAACAGGAACATCGGATAGAACTAAAAAATGATGATAAAAATATTCTGTTACTTATATGACGAAAAATTCAGGATGTCCCAGAAATCTACTAGAAAATTAATTGTAAATCATCTCTTAAAATTTAAATGATTTGATTAGTTTTTTTTTAAATAATATGATTATGTATGATCTTTTAAAAACATTCTATTAATATTGATTTTTCGGGTAAATTTATTGAAAAGCTCATCAAAAGTAAAATTCATTTAGTTCAATAAGCAAATTCTCTTAATTGTTACTGTTCACCAATATTATTATTGAAGTTTTATACATTTTCACTCGAACCTGTATATCATTTTTATAACGATATTAATCCGATAATATTCAGTATGATTTCGATGAAACATGTCGAATCATAATTTGTTGTGTAATAATTCGTAAAAATTAACAACTTAATACAAATAATGGAACACTTGATTATCATTCATTTTATGAAACTTTACAATTTTCATTAAGTTTTTCTTGTGAAATTCTTGAAAGTTTTTCAAAATATTGTTTATTTGCAACGACATTCGTGTTATAGACGCATTGTAACTATCTTTACTACAATCGACATCTAGTTCTTTCTTTCTTGTCTTCGATTAACATTTCTTTTGTCATCATTGAAGTTGATCTGAATTTGACCACTACTAATAAGCCTAATCTTATTTTAATCTGTTTAGACACAGTCGTTTATTCGAAACTATGCAAAAAAAATTCAATGAACATCGTATTGTATAATAAAAACAGTTAAACCTATTGAATTATATAAGTCATATTTACCTTTACTTTTCCGATAGATTTTTAAGCTACTATGTGTATATATTATTGGTTGATAGTGCTTTCTTTTTATAAAATCTTTATTTGCATTTCGATTCCATCTCATGAAAGTTCAAGTTAGTTTTTTGTTCATATTCTTGGTCAAATGATTAAATTTCAATATTATTGAAATGAATGAACCAAATGTCAATTGTAATAACTCGCTCTATTCAATAAACAAATATGAAATTCATTTTTCACATAAACCTACTTGTTTTCAGTAGTTTTTATTAAAGGAAAAAAAGAATAAAGCATATGCACCAAATCATAAATATCATTCAAACAGATAATGTCAAGAAACTTATTAGCATTCCTGATAAAAGAAAAGGAAACGTATAACCTATCAGTTTGGGTCATTTTATTTTTTTTTATAGATTATGTTACAAACACTAATATGGTATTGTAGTACATAAGATTATGAATCTAACACGATGAATAAAGTTTGTCTGAAAGTCAAGATATCTTTGTCAGATGCAAGTTTAGCCGTAATCATAGCATATTCTCCTGGTGTAGATTGAGAATAGAGATTCTACTTCTGAGATACAAATAGATGCCAATGAACTTACTTCTACTGTAATGAGAAGGGCATGATATGGGCTGTATTTTGATATCAAAACATTATACAAATGATTTTTTGTTGAGCTAAGAATCAGTGAAATAAGAAGGTTGAGTATTCACAATCGATTAAATTTCAGATCACTAGTCAGCCTTGAAATTTTGATATCTCGAAGAATAAAAAAGTTTCACGAGCCAAATTTTTTCTATTAGTGGAGTACATAACAGTCTACAGGAATTTGAAATCTCAAATAGCATGCCATGTTATAGAATTATAAAAATAGCTTTCTAAGACCTGTCTTCACGTCAATATCAAGGACATTCACCTTTCACATTTTCAAAAAGATGAAATTTTCAGAGTTCGTAGAAAATGAATTAAGGATTTGTATCTCTTTGAAAACATTCTGAGACTTTTTTCAAAAACTTTCTCACAGAATCAGTTAAAAAAACTGATTAAATTGAATATTTTCTGAGAGAGTCATTTTGTTTTGTCTGACCTTAAGAGAAATCGAAGAAAAATTCTTCGAAAACGAGACTCAGAAAGTTTCGAAGAGATACAAATCTTTAATTCTTTTTCTACGAATTCTGAATATTTCATCTTTTTGAGCATGTGAAAGGTAAATGCTATTGACATTGATACGGAGACTAGTATTAGAAGGCTATTTTTACAATATGATAAAATAGCTACTTATTTGAGACTTTAAATTCTTGTAATCTCTCATCTACTCTACTAGCAGAAAAAATTTGGCTAGTGGAACTTCTTTATTCTTAGAGATATCAAAATCTCAAAACTGACTAATGATCTGAGATAAAGCGATAGTGAATACACAAGCTTGCTTCGTTCACTTATTCTTAGCGCAACAGATAATTATTTGTGCGACATTTTGATCTCAAAATGTAGCTCATCTTATGCTCTCTTTATCACGATAGAAGTAAGCTCATTGGCATCTATTTGCATCTTAGAAGTAGAGTTTCTATCCTTAATCTACACCAGGAGAACATGCTATGGTTATGACTAAACTTGCAAGTGGCAGAAGTATCTCAATTTTCAGACAGCATTTATACATCGAGTTAGACTCACAAGCTCAAGCACTACAATACTATATAAGTTTTCATAACACTATCTGAAAAAAAGATGAAATGGCCCCAACTAAGAGTTTATGCTATCTCTTCTTTTACTTGAGTAAGACAAGAGATATCCGATGTGAAATAATTCATCATTTCAATATCGCACGATGTATATTTTGGAGCGTGTGGTGTAGCTCGACCAAATTGATACGTCATAAGACATTGCTGTGAAGGATAATTATTTGACGCGCACATACATTCTTCAGGTATTGCTGTACAAAATTTTAATTTGGTTTTATATTCATCACATAGATATGATAATTCAAATGGATGAACAACAGAAAGTGTATGTGCTAATTCATGTGCAAGTAAACCAGCAATCGACCATGGATATGGTCGATAATTAATAAGTGAAGCACCTAAGAAAAAATAGAATAATATTTTCTTGTCAGAAAAGAAAAAATTACCTGAAGTAGTACATGGTGGTCCTTGAGTATAACCTCCTGCAACTAATGAAGTTTTATTTGAAATGAGTACTCCAACAGCATAAACGGTTCCAAAAAGTGATTTTTGTGTATTAGCCAAATATGTTTGAAATTGTGTTAAAATATTTGGCATAGCTGAATACGAATTACTTCCAACAGGAAATGATATTTTATCACCATTTGACCATATTTCTGTACCTGCATTCGTCACTATTATATTAGCATGTGCAGTATATTTTGATGCAAGTTTAGCTAATTGAGTAGCATATCTATTCGCATGGTCTAAATTGTTATTGAGATCAGCTGCTGCTTCTTTATCAAATACAAAGAAACAAGCAATTCTTTGAAAAAAAAATAAATATTAATTTTAAATATTTAAATAAGAATTAGGTACATACTGTCGACGAATTGTAGCTGCTTGTACAACAGTGGTGTCGAAAACTAGGTTTCCCACTGTTTGAATACGTCGAGAAATTGAATCATCATCAGCTCGTTTGACTCTGTTATTAGCTTCCGATGAAAGTAAACTTTGAAAAATAAAAAAAAAAAAGACATTCAAGAAAGGCACAGAAACGTTTTTAAGAATATTCTTACCGACTCAAAGAAAATCCATCCAGATAACTAATAGTGCAGAGTATTAAGAGGATACCGACAGTAAACATATAGTTCAATCGAGTCATTACTTTTATAGACGAAGAAATAATCGTGCTATCTGTTGAAAGAAAATGACAAATAAATGATATTTTACATGCATGTTTATTGAAACTTTGTCCCGTCCCCTCCCTTTTTTTATTTTTACAAATCATTAAGGAAATTAATGAAGTAGGAAATCAATCAATGCCATATTTCCATGTAACATATGGATGCTTTGTCAAGTGAATCTCTTTTCAATTATAACATTTGCGTAGTTTTAGTGGATATAATCAATGTTTATTGAAGAGGAAAAATATCAGAATATTGTTTTTTTCTAGTTCTGATGAATAAAATTATTATGATCACATAAGTTTAGCTCGAGAATCAACAAACATTAATGAAAATGGAATAGAACGATCATTTGAACTTGGTTTAATAAAACGATCAAGTTTAACATAAAGATCAGATGTTAATTTACATGTTAAAATTTGTCTCATTAAAAGTTTTTCTTTTAAATAAATTTGTATTGAAGCAGTCATACTTATTGCTTGCCGATATACACTTGATAATTGAGTAAATGTTGTTTCACATTCTTGGCTTTTTAAAATAGAAAAAAATTCGACAAAATTTGTTTTATTTATTCGATCGGGTGATAAAAAACGAATTGGTCGATTAACTGAACTTGATGATATAAATTTTAAATTAACATCCAGATTAAGTAATTGACTAAGACGAATAAGACCTTTGACATCACTAAATCTATAATAATAAAAATAAGCTATTTATTTTTTGAATGACAAAGGGAAACATACTTTTGTTCACTTCGTTCATGAAATAATTTCGCAAAATTTGGAAAAACATTATTTAATCTTAATGCATAATATGCTATTTCATATTGATATTGTTGTTCAGTTAACCAACGAATAAGATTTTCAATAGCTTCTGTATTATTAGGTGTTACTGTTCGTCGTAATGGATACTGATGAGTTTTTGTTGGTATTGATACATCTTGAATGGATGTATGTGGAATATAGACAAGAAGACAAACGCATATAAAAAATAACATTCGTAACATCATTAAACTTTTTTTCTTATCACTATTTATCTCATATGATGAAAGGACACAAATGTGAGACGACTACTGAACTTGCTTTTTTTCCTTTTTTTTTTTATTCGGATTCTTATCTTCATTGCATAACTTTTATTTAGATGATTCAGATAAAAAACATTATTTGCAGATGATATTTTCATATTATTCTTTTGAAAATATTAATCTTGAGCTATTTTTTTCTCACGAGAAAAGCTCTCTGACTGTGCAGTGTCGGGGCCAGAATCAAAATATTTTGTGTCACAATAATAATTTTTGGTGCCCCAATTGCTTGAAAAATCGTTTTGTTGAATGGTCTTTGCCCAATTATAGGTTATTTTAAATTTGTTTAGATGTGGCCATTGTCACACGTTGCCACGCTGATGGCCCACAACTAGTAACAGCAGTTGATGTCTTCAAAGCATATCATCGAATAAGATATTGTTAGATCAGTGGGAAAGTATTTTATGGAACATGCGCATATGCCAGTTATTTACCCGCATATAGTTACTTCCTGTTACAATAAAATAGGCGAATTCTATAAGGTTAAGAAACAATTCAATACTTCATGATTAGTTGAGGACATGCTAAGACTATTTTTTCTAACTATTTTAACATTATTTCCACCGTAAACCGGCAGATGTATCGATATTAGGTGCGAATATAGTTAAAATAGTTAGATAATATAGTCTTAACTAGTATATCGCTTGATAGTATGAGATTTCAGATCGAAAAAATTATAATAACTAAACTATCAGAGTTGCTATAATTTTTTCAGTCATAACTAGTTCTCAAGTAATCATAAAGCATTGAGTTATTTCTTTACCTTATAGAATTTGCGCCATTCAAAAACTAAAACATGTGAAAACGCGTTTCACTTTGGTCTGTTGTTACGCGTTATTTTTTTTCTTTTGTCTGACTGGGATTAGGCTTAGTATAGAACGTCACATTCATTTCATTCGAGTTAATAGAGAATTCTTGGAGTTATCTTTTGAGAAAACATTCAGTCAAAACTTTGAAGCGTGAGAAACATATTTAATAAATACTCAGTCATTTATCATGGGACAACTGTTAAATATGTTGAAAAATCTTTTCTTATTTTAACAAATGTTATAAAACAGTTTCGATCATCATTAAGTTAATTATGATTAAATTTTAGAAATTTAAAAATTTAAACAAAAAGTTAATCTCTTTTCAATAATATTAAACTTCATCGAATCACAATTAGAATCAACAAAACAGGTAAAACAATTGAATCTCTGCACTCGAATAGATGGAAATTTGATTGTTATTCAAATATTGATAGTTGTATCAATAGTTTAGAATCAATCTTGACTTGATGATACTTGATCAATTGAAATTAATGAAAAATTCACTATAAATCACTACTTTTATTGAAAGCACTCGAAGAAAAGAAAATAATTTCAAATGAAAATATAGATAAAATAGAAATGGCATTAAGTAATGTAACAATTGTTTTTATTCGTGATGGATCAATTGGAAATGTCAAAATATCGTTTATCTATTTCACATCAAATTTACAAGAATTTATTCTATTTTATACGAATTCGCCTTTATTGGTGAGTGACTTTAATTCAATATCAAATCAAAGATTTCGAAAGATTAAAAATAAATTCATTTTTAATAATTAAACGACGGAACAAAACAAATTATAGTTAGTTTTTTTGCATATAAAAGACATAAAGTTATCATTTAATATTGATGTTTGAAATAACTACTCGATCTTTCCAAACCGTGACAGAATTCCTTTTTTTTCCACATAGTGTCTTCACTATGTCGATGTACTCTACATAGACAAGGATCAAATTTCGGAAAAACAAAGTCATATAGATCGCTCTAACATGCTGAAAGTTCGATTCAATCACACATATCCTTATTCGCTTTATGATTGAAATCTAAGCTCCTGTTGTAACCACAAAAAATAGACTTGCAATTTGAGTGTCATACAAAGAATTAAAAAAATTAGATCAGCTACAAATGTGTTAGATAATGAATATTGTAAAGTATCATCTCTAAGAATAAAAATCATTTTTGATCAATGATTATTTCTTCAAATAAGGATAAAGATAGTGACACACAAAAAACCTCATATTATGTAGGAAAGCAGTAAAGAAAAAATAAATTTTCATTTGTCTTTCTGATAATGTGAAAATTCAATTGTGAAAGTTCGAGATATTTATCAAATATTATCTAAATGACTTATTCAATTTATGTAATAAAAATAGTTTGTCCATATTCCAACATTTATTCAAGATCATAAACTGAGACAAAAATTATTTTTCAATAGGACTTTTCGAAAAAAAAACTCAATCACTTGATGGTGATCTCATTAGCACCCAGTTGATCAACTGAAATATTTATAAAATTAGTCAATCAGTCCATTTGATAGAAAACATAGAATTTTCTACCGAACAGAATTATAAGAGAATTTCGTAATAGAATCACCTTCAACAATCTATTACCTTTATATAAGTAAAATATTTTCTGAAGAAATCACAAAACGTAACTTCGTTTTCATAACTGCATAGACTATTGTTAGTATCTTCAGTTCATATAAGATGTGCCATTAAAGTATGTTTATTCATATGAAAAATCAGAAAATAATAATGTGGTAATGAAGATTGATCTTTTCTGCTTTTAAGATACATCTTCATCAGAAAATTTATTTCTCAAGAGAAAACTATAATTACATAAATAAAAGAGACATTTTTCTATGTTAAGAATATCACTTCACATAATCATTCTATTAGTTTTCGCTAAATTCACAGATAAACTTATGCTCGTAAGAATATCTATCAGGATGTCGGTATGAATATTAGTGTGACTGTGAGAATATTTTCTTACGAGATATACACCCACTCACATTCTAACTAGAAATGTTATTTAGAACAGAAAATTGTTTTCTTGAATAAAATTTTCAATTAACAGCGAAATATAAATTGTTATGGATTTGTTAACTAGCGAGTACTTGCGACATTCTCTTGATGAGCTAGTATATAATTATGTTTAAAAAGTCATTAGAAATTAATCGTAATCGATGAAAATCTTATCTTTGATCGGTATGCTTAATTAAGAGTAATCAACTTGAATCCTTGCTTTCTACTGTTGAATTTCCTTCTAAAACAATTACAATAACGATTAAGTGGCAAACTATCAACAATGATTTTATTTTAACATAGAATAAAAGATTTATTCGTTGGCATCAACGAAAAATCAAGAGAAACAAAAAACTTTTATCGACTAGAGTCGTATTTGAACTAAGCACCAGCTTTCCTTATGAATCTGCGCCGTTGTTCAACTTCTTGCTCAGCCATCCGACGACCAAAAAACCAATCCTAAATGACAATAACAAATGTAATTATGGATTATAGACATAAGAAAAAAATTTACTAGTCTCTAAATCGATAAAAAAAGGAAATTTTGTTAATGTTTCATTGAAAGGGACGTGTTAAATGCATTAAGTGACTCCTAGAAAGGAATAAAGCTGAAGTATTAGATGGTTTTTTATGGTGGTCTTCGCGTGCATATGGTTTGTGCATGAATTGTCTGGTAGAACGAATACATTTTTTGGCGTAGAAAAGGCTTTCTAGTATCGTGTGAGAAAAATTGAAAAAGAGCATCTACTAAGATCAGTACGGTTGGTAGGATTTCTCCTTGAATGAAATATATCTTCAAAAAGAGTGAACGATAGGCATATATCTAAAGATAAATTCGTTTTTTTCATTTCTCCTTAGTATATACGATTTTATGTGGGATGATCGATTTCTCCATAAATGGAAACGATTTTCCCATCGATGGATCATATTGTCCACTGCTGTTATTTTGATATTAATTCTGTGAGAGAACGTCTTTTTTATTTTCCAACATGTGTTATGAACGATGAATATCGTTCACAATCAAATTTCACATGCTTAGCTCATGGAATAACAGGTTAAATTACTGGTAATAGGAAATATTCAATGGTGAAAGTCTTTTTACATATTAATAAACAAGAATAAATATATACTGAATAATAAACAATTGATTCAAGTTTGAATAAAACTTAAAATGTTCCATTTTTTTTAAATTACTGTTAATAATAAGAACTGAACTAATTAAATGAATACTCATTATGAATGCAACATAGAAATACATATATATATATATAAGAAAATAAATTTGAATTAGAAAAATGAAATCGATTTCCAATAAGAAACAAATTTATTATTTGACATGATGCTAATCAGTTTGAATCGATTATTAGGGTTGATTGACAATTTTTGTAACACGTTTCATTGCATTTCCAATTAGAAAATCTTAAAGACTTTTTTAAATTTTTGATCCTTTTAACTACATATNTCATGTTATTCTCATCTCATGTTATGTTGCAAATTTGTTCTTCTCTTTCGTTCTTTAGTGTGTCTTATGTTATTTTCCTTTTCTTTCCTTCATGTGCTATGGATTTTTCCAACTTGTTAACCATCCTATATATACTGTTGTTTTTATGTTATCGAAAAAGATTCGAGAGAGATCGAAATATATCGTCAGATACATACCAATTGATATCATTAGTGAAAAAAAAACGAATGGAAAATATTTAGGAAATATTGAAGAACATCAAGAAGAAGATATGCGTGAATTGGAAGAGAAACTTCGACAAGTATATGAAAAAAATTTGACTCTGAATTCTCACAATCTCTTTTTTTTGCTTTTTTAGGGAACGTTAGAAATATGAATTTGATGCTGCATTACTTCAACAACGTACACGAAAAGAAATCAATGATTTACGAGCAAATATTTAACGACTGCGAACTGTATGTAAACTTTTTTTACTTATAACGAGTTTTTTTTTTATATTTAATTTAATTAGATTGAACAACTTTATACTGATCGTAAAAGTGAAGAATATTCTTCATTAATTTTATTACGTGAAGAAATAGCAAAATTAGCAGAAGAAAATCTAACACTTAATCCATCTTTAAATGATTCTTTAACAGCTAATGTTATATTACAGAGTGATTTACAATCATTTAAAACTCAATTAAATGAACGACAAACAATGCTTTTACAGTATGAACAAAGAAAATTTATAGTTTAGTAAGTTTATTTTATTTTAGAGGAAAACAATTATCATCAAGTAATTATCGGGACAAAGAATCATTACAAACAAATGTTCGCCATCTTATATACGTAATCAAAAAAAGAATATTTAATGAAATATATTTTCCATTTTAATAGAGAAGTTCATAAACAGATTCGTGATGAAAATAATTCATTACGTGCAATCATTCAATTAAATAAATCAAATACTAGTCTTACATATGTAAATAAAAAGATAATAACATTGTAAAATTTATTCAAAGTTATCAAAGGTTCTTTTATCACCAAGCCGATTAATGTCTACAACTGGTACAACTCTGCGTTTTTATTGGAATGATTAAAAACTAGAGCGGTATTTAATTTGATCTGTTGAAAAAAAAGTTAACATTGATTATTTTATATAGTCCATCACCCTCACATGTAACGACTACAAATCACCTTAAATTCGATGAATTTGATCTTGAATCAGTTGATGAAATAGGTATACTTAGTAATGGATCCTAATCTATTAAAAAATTAGGTGCTATCAATACATCAAACAAAATAGTACCACTGGTACCAGTTTCTACTCTTAGTAATACTATCGATGAAAAAAATATTATGAATGATTTGTTTGCACGTGATCATTGTTTTAACATGTATAACAAATCTACGAGTGTTATGTTTTAATCATTAAAAACGTAACGAGCTTGATTATGCGATCAGTTTTAATATAAGTTTTAGTCGGATAGAATCTATGAAAAATGTATTAATGTTATTGTTCTTATTTTAATTTTATATACATAGTGGATTATCATTGACAACAATACGTTATGCAATTGACATTGAATCAGACCATTCATCAAACCCGAGCAAACAAACACCGACAAAAAATCCCAAACAACATCAATCATTGATTACGAAACAAAATACTGATGATACAAATTCAGATGACGTTTTTCTTGAGCTATAGAAGATATATTTTTAAATTTTCTTTTGCAAACTCTCAGAAGGAAATAATTAGCTTTGGTATTTAATCTGTTAGCATTATTCATGTCTGACTTATATACCGTGATAGGCAGTAATAAAACGCGTATAATTAGGAGTGACACATTATCTTTATTTTACTTTGAAAAAGTAAAGTAAAGATAAAATGGCAGCCCTACTTAAAATTCTTTTCGGAAAAGTACTTTTCATGGATATACTTATCATTGAATACTCTACGGCAGCATAAGAGCTTTTTAATAATCCTTTACTTTTCGTGTATATAGTCTTGAATTCCTTGAAGTCGTTTGTGTCTTTTATGATATTTTCTGTTTGCTTGAGAACAGCATGAAACAGTACTAAATACTCCTATTTTATCTGAATAAACAAATGTTTAATATAGCAAAGGGAAAATGTTGTAGAAAAAAATAATAGTTCTTGAGGCAATGTCTAACAACTTCAGAAAATACACTGTTTTGTCTTGCAAATTCCTAAATATTCCTCAAAACAAACAAAGTATCCAGTTTCGACGACGAATAAACTTAAAAAACAAGCAAAATTCAAATATTTTATACCTATATACACTTATCCTTCAACAAGTGACTTATGTCTAACAACTAAAAATATTCATTTATATATTCTAATAGATTTCACTTGATCATACTCATCTTAAGAGATCGTCTCAACATCGATCATCGAGACGACCGGTCAACAATGCACGTTCATCAACAAAACATGCAATTAATCATTCACTAGCAATCACTCAATCACCTGCAACAAAACATAGTGATGAGTCCGATACCCAACAAGATTTTCCATTCGAGCAAATGATGAGCTTGATTTTTGTCTTTTTCTTTCGAGTCGTATGGTCAAAGTTGTCTTTTGTGGTGATGTTGCTGTTGACAAAAGTGCATTAATCATGCATTTATGTAAAGGAAAATTTGTATCCAATGTTAATTCAGCATTAGGTGTTGAGTTTCAAAATAAACAAATTGAAGTAGACGGTAAACGTGTGGCTATTCAATTATGGAATATAGCTGGACAAGAAAGGCTTAAGATGAATTTTTTTTTACTAAATAAATTTTTCTTTAAAGATTTCGTAGCATTGCAAAATCATATTTTCGTCGATGTGATGGCGTTATTCTTGTTTATGATTCAACATATGAGCGTTCATTTTTAAATATTCGAGAATGGATTAATACAATAACAGATGCAACACTGAAAAAAGTTTCTGTTATGATTGTTGCAAATAAAATTGATTTAAGCGATCAAATACGAGCAGAAGGAAAATTCTTTCAAAATTATGTGTTACAGTTCTTTTTTTCTTAACATGAAATACATATGATGCTTATTTTTCGAGAAGATTATTTGAACAAATTTATTACAATTAACTGAACATCATAGTAAAATTTAATATTATTCATCATACCTATTCGTGCTTTTGTAAAATATAACGGATAAGAACTCAACATTTCGACAAAGGTATGATTTTCTTAAAGCCATAAAAGATATTTTTCCGTAAAAAAAGAGTTTTCTCTCACAATAAGATTTTTCTATTAATTAATTTCAATAAAATGCTTTTACTATTTTGAAATTGAAAGTCTGTGGAAAAAGAGAATGAAATTCACAATGTTGTTCACGATCGAGCATACGAAAAACTTGAGGGTGTGGGTGGGTGTGGATGATGAGAAGAATCTTATCCTTACAACCTCATGTCAGTCCCTCACCCTCACACGATAAACATCATCCTCAGCCTCCGCTTAACCCTCACCCACATCCAAAGTATCGATTTCAATCTTTTACTGACGCACATAGTAATTGAATGAATTTTGCAGATGATAATTAACTAATACTACAATATTTCAATTCAAAAAACTTTATCCAACGAAAACATCATAAATTACGAAATATTTCATTATGAAGGTTGCATGAGTAACTGCTATCGGAACAACTTACTCTCAAGTCCCATAGAGAGAGATGGATAAGTGGTAATCTTAAAGTTCACTACCTTCGTTTATCTAAACGTTTTATCACTTACGAATCAATTTTGCATAAGTGCCTAACCTGGTATGAAGATAGTTTCTAGTCTGAGACGATTGCACAGATTCCTATTGATGATATCGAATTGTTAAAGACTTTTCCCAAAACGTTCTAATTATCTCTCCCATCGTATTGTAAGTTCTTTCTCACTCGTTTTTGTGACCTTCTTTTGTTTTCCTTTTTCCTCTATATATCCATTTCGTTCTATCTTCTATTTTATTATTGCTGATTTGCAGAACATTCTCTTTTCTTTTTGTACTGTCAGGCCCCTTAAGACATCAGTTCTCTTCACGAGTAAGCACAATAAAAAAAATAAAAAAATCTTCTGTTCGAAATGCAGCAACACATAAGAGAAACAGTTCTCTGACGATCGATTGTTTTTGAAAAGTAACTATCGTCTGACAGACTTTTCACTTTATATATATATGCTATTAGTACCCTAAATCTGAACATATGTGGGTTCAACATTTCAGTCCCAAAGGAGCTTCGCCAACAGGCTTGTTTTTCAGGAACAACTCTATTTCATAAGTTCGGAATGTTCATATTGCCAAATATTCTAAAAATCTATTATTATTTTGCCTTTTTTTTTCTTATTCAAACATTACTTTATAAAATAATACTAATAATAGTGTATTATTGAAAAAAAAAAAAGAATTTTCTTCAATTTTTATCGAATCTATCAAATATATTGAAATAACAATCATGAGAAAAAAACACAAGCCAATGTTATTGTTCATCTTTATTTCATAATGAAACCATTAATATTCATAATTATAGTAATCGAAGCAATGATAGGAAGTGTAATTGTAGTTATAATTAATTCTTCTTCTTCAATATTCCAAATTTTTTTATATTTTTCATTCGTTCATAAATACATTTAACTTTATTGTTTTTTTCCAAGATATCAATATCTCTATAATGAACAGGAGTATCATATAATGCTAAACATAACCAAAGTAATGGATCATCACAAACATGTGGCAACATAATTCAAGTGTTATCATTGTCAATATTAAAAAAATACATACATTATCAGCAATAATAATAATGTTGTCAGAATATAATAAAATATCAGTAGCAAATGTAAGAATTGATAGAATAATAATGAGAAAAAGATATGGAATTAAACGAACTGTTCGATGCCATAGATAAATAAGAAGTATAAGAATTGAAGTATAAAACATGAATAAAAGTTTATCTCGATAAAAATCAATATTTGTATTAATATAAAGAGAAGGAAGAAGTGAGAGATTACAAGAATCATTCATTGATGATGATCTTAGTTTTTCAAGAACAGCCAGATTGGGACGATAAACACCATATTTTTCATTAAACGAAGGAACTTGATAAAACGGGTAAACTGATCGTCATCAAACTCACGAGTATCAATAATTCAGCTGTAATGCATTCATATGAATTTTCTGTGTTAGGCATCTTTTACGACAATACAATTCTAAAAGAAACTTTTGAGGAATTGTCATAGATAATTGATAATTCATCCAAATCACACAACTAGAAATAGACTTGAGATTTGAAGTATTAGATATATCCTTGTAAGAATAATAAATGTGAATATGAATCTTTTTTTTAAATATCTATTCTCTTCATTATCTCCAATAGTAGGTCGAAAAATGATCAAAAAGAAAATTTTGATGAACAAATGAAACAGTTAATATAGCTTGATATTTATAAGAGATAAATTCGTTTAATAACATATATATTGGAATGACGACGGGAAAAAGAATTATGGTTTGTCTATTTGAAAAAGAAAAACTCGATAACCTTGTAAATTTAATCATGTTTCTTGCCTATTTTGTACTTTTTTAACTCTAATATTTATCAAAAAAACAAATGATGGATATAAATAATTGAATAGAAGATTATACTTTTCTTAGTTGATGCTAATTTCTTTCTAAAATGTATAAAAATATTAATTAATCTTATCTAAAGGAAAACTAGACATTATAAATAACATAATACATTTTGAAAAATATATTAATTCAAAATAATCAAATGTTACTGAAAACAAAAATGATAGATTAAAATGTTTCTGTTTTTGAGAAAAAAAAACAATCTATATATTTTGTAAAAAAAAATAGAAAAGAGACAATTTTTACTATGGGTACACTATATAGTGATGTGTATCTCCTGAAAATTTCAACTTTACATGCCTTGTTCCTTCTATCAGTAATTCTAGCACACGGTGTAGCATATATTCGAATTCAAAACAATCAAAAAGCAATACAATAACTTTCAACTGTTAAGTTATAAATAAAATATCTATTTTAAATTAAAAAGACAGCAACACCTTGGTAGTGTCACATTCTCTCATATATTTGACTGAAAATTATATTGAAATTTAATTATTTAGGTCGGATTTTCTTGTCGAGTGAAGTAAACTTAAGAAAATATTGATGACTGGCCACTATGGATTATGGATGTGATCAATAACAACTTAGGAAAGCCCTGAACAATGCCATATATCTCAATTAACAAATTTTATATAGTTTCACCTATTTTTAAGTAAATTAACGAATAAGTTAACATCGTTATTCGTTAAGTTTTTAACGAATTTTTATGTATTGTTGATTGTTTAATCATCTATTATTTTTACGTGGGTTGTTGTCGTCGTTTAAGCTATTGTAACAGCTGCTCTTGGTTTCATATTCGTGAATTTTATCAATCGATCTTCTCCAGACTAAGATTTTGAACAAAAAAAAACATCAGTGAAAAACGAAGAAATATTCATCAGTAAATAAAAGTGAGAGTAGAATTAACACCCCTTACAATTCAAAGTAGCTTTTTCCTTATTTCTCACTCGCTTTTCAACAAATACATACTCCACCAAATATGAACTGTTAATCCTTTATATATTGAAATAAATGTACGTCTATCATAAATCATATTTAAAAACAAAGCATCTTCGAATTTTACATACAAACTTTTTTTTGTTATTTTCTATTATTATCATCAATCATTCATTTGACATAATCTGGAAAGATGATAGAATCTAAATGAAGATAAGCAGCTGCGCAATTCTTTATTTTTATTAAAGAGGAAAATCTACAATCTATGGATGCGTTACAGGAAAAAAAACAATCGATATGATTTATATTCATTTCCTTTGGATATGCACAAATTTCATCACCATAAAATAGGAGAAAAAACAGCGATGAAACTAAGATAGAAATAATCATTGAAAAAAAAAGGCATACAAATATATTAATATCATTTAAAACAAAAATATAGAATAAAGAAATGTTAGATAAAAACTATTTATTCATTAGTTAAATCAATCTATACACACAAAAGCATACACACACGAGAAAAGAAATTTGTTTTTTTAATGACGATAAGTAGAATAAGTACCATATCGACTACTTAAAGATGCTGAAAGATATCTCGATGGTAAAATAGTATCAAAATCACTATCACTGTCATATTTTGAGTAACTATAAGTGGAACTGCTTATTGGTAAATCATAATTATTTATATATTTAGAACGAGAACGAGTTGGAATACCCAATGATGAATCATAATAACGTGTTCGATAACCTAAATAACATACAACAGTAGATGATATTATTAACAAGTTATAAATCATACTCGAACTTGTATATGTCGGTCGAGATTTTGTTAATTCATTTTCAGCTAAACGTAAACGAGCTCGAGTTTCATCTAGTTGATTTCTTAATTTAGCACAAAGAGCCAAAGCAGCTTCCGTAATTAATTGTTGTGGAATAAGTTTATTGCTTCTGCATGCAGCAATTGTTTCTTCATTAACACGTGAAAAATCAATTTGATTGAGTAGTTCTTCTCGTTCATTATTACTCAACTTTGTTGAGTTTTCTATTATATATTAAATAAAAATATTACTTTGATTGAACAAATAAAAATTTAAACTAACCATTTTTAAGAATATCATCAAGTGCAAGTAAAAGACTATCATGTGAATTTCGTTGTTCTTTTGGTATACATGAAGCTAATTTAACGAATTGTTCACTTGTAAGTGCACCTCGTTGACGAAGTTGTTCAACATATGAATCAATTAATGAAGATAACTAAAAACCAAAAAATAAACAAATTAAATTATAAAAATAAAATGTTTAAATATTTTTAATAATTAATTACTTTTGATAATAGTTGTGGATCTTTAATATGTTGTTCTTTATATTTGCTAACACGTTCTAATAATCTTGTCATAATATCATCCGGAATATTTTCCATATTTTTATCAAGATCATTTGAATTAAGAATAGCTTGTGTTATATAAGATGATAATAACGATTCACATTCACATTGTAATTCAACTGCTCTCTCATAAGCAGCATTAAGCCATACAAGTGGTAATTGTTCAAGTGTACTTCCCAATGCTTTAACAAATTGATCAAGTATTGCTCGTTTTTCATCATCAGTTGTTTTTGGTATATCTTCTTTTTTTGTAATAGGTATAAAAGCATTTTTATGTTCATATCCATTATGTATAGATGATGAAGTAGAAGTATAAAATTGATTTTGATCAAGTACATGTACTGTAACATAATGTTTAGCAAAAGGAAGAATAGCAAATTTATTTTCTGTTGGACATAATTTAATTAATTCAATAATCCATTCAAGTGGTAAACGAATAATTATTTCACTATCAGATTTATTTAATTGTAAACCAGCACCACGAGTTAATGATTCAATAATAGATTCGAGACATTTATCGACAATATGTGTTTGTTGAGCCCATTGTTGATATTCACCAACACATTGTTCAAGTAATATTAATGGTATACCCAAATCATATTTAGCTCGTGCAACTAAAAGAATTCTATCAAAACGTTCATCAAGTAATGTACCTAATGCATCACATTCAATAAAACATGCTGCTGAACGAAGAGGAATAATATTTTTATGATCAATAGTTATGGGTATTGAATAAAAATAATCCGCTAAATGATTAAAAACTTGAGCGCCACCTGGAAAATTATTGTCTAGTCGAATAACATATGGAGCAGATTTTGTTGATGATTCTATAGCTCTTTTAAAATAATCACTTTTTGCAATTAATGGAAATGTATGCAGTTTAAATTCTGTTTTATCTACAATCACCGTAATATCCGATAATTCACCAGTACGACGAAGCTTCTCAAAACTCATAGTCTAACGTAGAAAAAGAATAGAACATCAAATGATGATGATGATGATGATGTCGGCAGTCAAAAAGAAAAAGAAAAAAAAATATTTGTTCAACCTTGCATAGGTTTCTTCAAAAAAAAGAAGAAAAGAACGAGAAATCGTCACAAATGTGCACTATCAACAGAAGTAACGTTCACATTTACCAATAGTATTAGAAAACAAAGAAATTCACTTAAGTTGAACGTTATCGACCGTGTAAAAATGCATGTGTCTGTGTGCGCGTGTGACAATGCTTTCTTCTTTTCTTTCGTTTTGTTTTTATTCATTATTGCCTATCTGTTGTTTGTTCTTTATACATCAGCCGAGTGTCAGTACGGGAGTTCTGTATTTTTTTTCGAAGTGAATTTTTATTAAATTTAACGTTAAAAACGGCTGGTAAGTCGAAAACAAAAATCACTACTGCTGGCATCATTATATTTTTTTTTTCGTGCTTGGATCAGAAAGAAAGAAAATGCATCGCAAGAAAGAATCATTCTGGTTTCAAAGAGGCTTCACATTACTTTTAAATCTGACTGTTTGTTGATGAAAAAAAAAAGTGCTTGGAGTGTGATTGATAGGTATTATTGTTGTTGATGTCCTTGTTTCTAACTAGCATTGTAGAACAAAAGTTTACGTATAACTAAATCAAATTAAAATTCAATTAAAAATAATAAAGATGTTATAATAGATTCTTTGAATTTAAATCATTCTATGTTTTTCTATTGTTATTGGAAGTTTTATCTTTCGTTTTTGTTTTCATCTTGTAGTTAAGACCTTGATTACATTCGAAAAGTATTCAATTGATTAAAATAAAGAATTTTTTATTATGTTTATATGTGCAATACAGTTCCGATTATATGCAAGTAATATTCATTGATCAAATATGTCATAAAACAAGTCAATTAAGTGGTGACAAAGAAAAGTTGATGTCAACTGAAGATGAAACTTTCATATTGATATAACATTGAATATCTAAAATAAATATTTCGACTATACTGCTGATATATTAGAATTCTTATTCGTTGTCTTAAGATGGCAGACAAGTAAGAGATATTAAATAAACAGATAAACATTTATTTAATATTGAATTTTAAAAAAATAATAAGATCGAAATAATTTTCTTTTGAATATGAGTCATATCATTCTATAGAATTCAAGATAACATTAGATCAGGATTATTAATGTTTGTTCATGAATAAAATATTTATTTTTATAAAGTAAAAGTTTCATCAAAAATATACAATAATAATATATTTTCTATTTATTTTTTTTTTTTTTACAAACAACAAAAAGAGAAAAATCATCGGTGAAATGATCCATGTATCAAAATAAATTTGTGTTATTTTAAGTTGATTAAAATTTCATCAAGTCGAATTTTATTTGTTTTATCAAGTAAAAATGTAAATTGTTTTTGATTTTCTTTGAGAAATGAACTTATTTTATTATTATGTGCAATAATAAGTTCATCATTTTTATGTTTGGGCACAAAATTGAATATGAAAATTGCTTTACCACAAATAAACCTAATCAAAATATCAAAGTTAAGATTATATTAAAATTTTCAAAAGAAAATTTTACCAAAGACAATTAGCTTTTTGTTTTGAATCAATTGCTACTTTAAACAAAGATGCTTGAGGCCACCAACCAACTAATGATTTTGATCGAAAAGGATTTTGTTGTTGAGTTTTAACAAGTAAACTCCATGGTATTGCTTTTGGATAAGTACTAGTTAAGAAAAACCAAAAAACAAAATCATTATTACAATTAGATAAATAAAACAAAAAGAAAACTTCACTCATAATCATTCTCCTTCTCATCAGCATCGGTTTCATTTTCAAACCATTCATCAATACATGGCATAACACGAATCAAATCGAAATCCAAAGCACTTGGTGCCACAATTAAATGTTTTTCAATTGCATTTAATAATCGTCGTTCATCATCAACACCTGATTTAACAAAAGCAAAAGCATGTTGAACAAGGAGTAAAGTACCAGATGGAATACAACATTTTGCATATAAACTTTGATTTCGTTTTTTTTATACATGAACTATTGTAAAAGTTAGAATGAAAAATGTGAATATCAAAAAAAGTTGTTTGATTAAGAGATTCATGATTAAACATTTGTTTTAAATCATATTCTCCATGTTGATATTCATATTTTAAACGTGGTCAAGCTGATTGAATTTGATTAAAATCTGTTGTGTATTTTAAACGTAAATTAAAATTAATTGAAGGATTTTGAGAAAGATTAAAAAGTTCATCAGGTGCAAATGTGAATTCTTGCAATTCAATATTAGCACATATAAGACGGTAAAGATATTTTAAAAAGAATTCATCATAAGTTTGATTAAAAAATCGACCAGTTACTACAACAAGTGAATCAAGATTTGCACCTGCATAAAGATGTTCTCGTAAATAACATGCAGAACGATTTGAATTTAATCGAGCTAGATCATCTTGAAAAGCGCTTCGAAATAAATTCATTTCACAATCATTATCTAAAAATTGAAATTGAAATTGAAATATTTTACAAATACAAGAAAAAACACAACAAGTTACCATTGGACATAGCCATTGCAGCCATAGCAATAATTCTATTAATAGCAAATGTATAATAATCAATAGCTAGTTGAGTATCACCACGAATATATGCTTGATTACCACATTCACGTAATTCATCAAGTTTATCATTAACAAAACATTTTTTTTGTCGCTCAGATAAAATTAATTCAGCATTTGGTGAATCACAACGAAGTGTAGGTTGACCATCAATATTACATATTGTTAAAAGTGGATCAAATAGAGTAATCATACTATCAACAGGTAAAAGTTCGTCAAAAACATGTGACAATTGTTCTATTGATTTATATTCATTTGTTGGAATAATATATGACCAATTACTAATCACTAAGAACAAATGATAAAACTTGATTTCGTTATACAATTAAACAATAGCTTATTAATATATAGTTGTAGGTCGTTCTCGATTGGATATATGTTCAAAATTTTAGTTTTTATCAAGTTCAAGTTACGAAAAGTGTGAAGCCGTAGGTTTCTACTCATGATGGAAGTTCTCCAATTGATCAATTACTTTTGAGTTGAACCTATGTGCATCATGTGGACCCTACTCATCTACGGGTAACATGAAAAAGGCTCGAACTTCTGTCTTATTGCTGTCTAGATATTGCATTTTTCACAATTGTGAAACATAATGCCATAGTTCTATCTAAGCAATGCCAATAAAAAGTACGTTTCAAATTTCAACTTTAGATTCTGTAGAAAAACAATCTCAATGAGAATTAATTAGAACGTTGGTATATACTACTTGATATAAAAGATGTAAAAATATCCTGTTATCATAGGCGTACTTTAGAATAGGATCAATCACGATATGGTCTGAAACTTTCACAATAATTAGTTCTCATTGAGATCTGTTTTTTGTGCAAAATCTGAAGTTGAAATTCAATACTTAGTTTTCTGATGTTCATGCGAAGCGACAACGACATTAACCTTAATAATTTCATAAAAATGAAATATCTCAACAGCACTAAGCTAGCAGTCCGACTTCTCGTCACGATATTCACAGATCTTTAGTATCTATATGATGCACATAATTTCGGTTCAAAAGCAATTAACTGATTGCAAGAGACATATACGACTCAATAGATATTAACAACATTTATTTGTTATAGAATTCCTGAAATTTATCTTTCTATGATATGCATACATTTCCATTGACTCAAATTAAGTCATAGCTTAAAAGAATATGTCTCAAGCGTGGTTCCCATGTTTATCTTAAAGACAAATATAAACGAGATATTACCATACATTTAAACATGTCGAATAGTTTTTGACTATAATTGAAAACTTACTGAGACGAATATGAAAATCAAATTTACCACGAACAACCATATATATTGTTCCATCAGTCATATTTGTCGATTCAGGTCGTGTTACAATCCATAATGATAATTGTTGATCTTTATAAACATGATTCATTTTCATTTCATTTAAATAAATATTTTGTCGATGATTATCATTAAAATGATCTTCATTATTATAATGGTCGATTCATTTTATTTTTACCCTGATGATCTTTGTCGAAAAAAATTAATTTTTTTTTATCATCTATCAAAGATGAAATGTTAGCATGAAATACTTCATGATTTTTCAAAACAAAAAAAGAGGAAAATGTTAATGGTAAAATAATATCGCTACTAGAAAAGAAAAAATCCAATAGACAAAATTAGAAATATTTTCTGTGAAAAATAAAAATTTATCTTACTGACTTTTTAAAATCGAAACATATTCTTCGATTGAAATTTCATGCTTACATCAAGGACATTCCTTGATGAAAATCAAAATTTTCTTATTTATGTTTCATAGTTAACACATCGATGTTGTGAATGATCACTTGCTATTAATTATTATAAATTTTCTTTTGCTTCGAATCCATATTTAAAGGATTTAGCAGTACATCACGCTATGATCGTACTCGTTATACGAGCTCTCCAATGAAAATTTTGTTTTTCAAATTTGATTCATTTCCATCTGTAATCGTTTTGTTTTTATTGAAATTAAAAAGATGAATGTGGTCTGAAGAATCCATGCCAAAATGGTGGTACATGTCGAACATTGGCAAGTGGTCGATTTTACTGTTTCTGCACAGACGAATATTATGGAAACTATTGTGAAAAAGTAAAAAAAATTTATCTTCATTCATCGTTTTTTTTCCTAAAACTCTATGATCTATGTAGGATTTAGGTTCAGCGGTTCTGGTGCCAATAGTCGACTACGTAAAGATCATTGTGCAAGGTCTCCCTGTCAAAATGGAGGTGACTGTGTTTCATTAAATACAACATATTATTGCCGTTGTAAAATACCTTATTATGGAATTAATTGTAATAAGCGTAACTATTATGCCGATGTGTTTCTAAAAGAATTTTCTTTCATTTTCATTATACAGATTTATCAAAACGTGAAGAAATTGTTGATGAATCCAACTCATCCGAACAGGAATTCAATATAAATGAAGATGATTTAGAAAGACATTTAAAACAAGTTATGGCTTCAGAAGGTATAATGGATATTATAGAATAGATCTTTATTTTTTCTATTTATGTATTTTACACTTAAAATGTGTCAATAAATAATATAAACGATTGAGACATCAAGAGGAAAAAAAATACTTGTTCAATCACAATAGTTTTTATAAGAATTTATAATAAATATATCTATGAAAACGCACACTAAAAACCAGTTAGAATAATTGTATCACAAAAAAGAAAAATAATTGATAATTTTATTTAAGGTTTTCTTATAACCGTTTCATCATCGGCTTGAACATCTGGATTCATTTCTAGATCCAATAGTTGCTAAAATAGAAAAATAAAGCAAATAAGTATAAGAAAAAAGAACAAAAGAAAAAGAGGATTAATTCAAATAATAAATAGACAAATAATAAATAGACAAATAAAAAGCATTTAATATTGAGCATTAAACGTTTAGTATTTAACAAGCAAGCAACAATGAATAAAATCTACTTCATAAAAGTTGTGATGATGATGAAATAAAATGAGCAGATACATCGCCATTATTGTCTGTACGAAGATTTACACTTGTTTCCTGGAATCATTCATGCACTCATGTATGTATATATATATATATATTATATAGATAATCCGAGCTATCAATTCGTTTCTCATTCGATTTCTATATTGATAATCAACTTACATCTTTCTGCACATTTGATTTTCGATTAAAGTCTGTTGGATAAAAATCATTTAAATTTGAAGATGTATCTTCCATGTCAATTAATTCAGTTGTAGAATTTCCGTATTTATTATTCAATATTGATTCATCATGATTATCAACCGATGGTATTACAATTTGTAATGTTCTTTCATTTCGATTCTATGATTATCAGAGAGAAAAAAAATCAAAGCAGTGCATAGAAATCCCCCAATTTGAGCATGCTAATCATGTTTAATTATACAAAAAAAAAATTAAACGTACCCAATTACGTTGTTCTTGTGTTGTTAAAAATTTTGTAATCGGTACAAGATATGCGGGTAATGTAACAGTTAATGGAGGATAACTATGTGTAAGAAGAGGCTTCATAAATCTAAATTTATCAAATAAAATTGTTTTTTAATGTTGTAAAAAATTATTTTTATCATTTCAAATTATATACTATAAAAAGAATCGTTACTGAAAACAATTCTATCAGAAATAAGTATGTAATTTATGGTAAGACATCGACATATACCAATATAAATGTCAAGAATATTTCGATTATTTTCTCATAAAAGATTTAAATAAGTAACTTTATGCAAGAATTAAATGTCCAACTAAACTAATGAATAAGAAGCTGTTAGAGTAATCCTTATGAAGCCAATATATGAAACATGATGGGGGGGCTGACATTGTACAAGAGAAATTTCATCAACATATGTTTCAGTTTTGTGAATTACTACTAAATGTTCATGAATGCCAATGATGTAAAATATTAATTATAGTATATTACAGTGAATGTAACAGAAGAGCAAAATGTATCTAGTACCTTAAATTCAATCGTGTTTTATTCTAATCCTACAGTAGACTGCGTTTTTTATCAGTGTGTTCATCATGGTCCTTGATGAAGGCGCGACAATAATAAAATACCTGTAACGAAGGAGAGACATCCGTCAAAGCTCGTAATGAAAAAGCATTGTACGTGTATCTATCACGTTTTCGGAGTAATCTAGTTTTCTATCCTTATACTGCAATGTTCATTTTAGATTGTGTTTCACAAAATCTAATAGCTGGCATCGAGAAAAAATATATGCGCGTGTGAAATTGGAGGTCTGAAAATTTGTATACATTTAATTCACCAAGAATATAGATCAGAGTCATCAGCTGGCTTCGATTGTTTAAAAAAAACAGAAATTATGATGGATGGCAATGAATAGCACTTATGGTGCCTTTGAATTTTATACTTCTGAAAAGATGAAATTGTATGGATCAGCCGATTCTTCAGTATGTGCGACTATGTTCCAGCTATTCACGCTGTTAATTTCATCGAATTCGATAAATCCTTGATAGAATGATGGCCATTTTATTGTGCATATTTGAGGGACGAAAAACTCCTTGATACTTTTTTGTAAACCATAACTCAAAAAATACTTCAATGAATCGAACTAAAACTTTTAGAGAAATTTTGTCAGTAGTTGAATATTATTGTTCTCAAGTGTCAGAAAAGAATCTTCTTCTAAAGAGAAACGGTATACTAATAATTATTTTGATGGTTCTCATGACTCAAAGACATCTATAGAGATAGCAATTTTGTAGCAAATGACATGATCTCTTGAATGACGAAAGACCTTTACTGAGCTTTAGTGGCAAATAAAAATATCAAGAATCATTCATATATTTGAAAAAAAGGTAATGCAAAATTTAATAGACAGTTTTTTCAAGTTAAAAAGTTTGAAGCAAACAAAGACACTATCCATCATAATTCTCATTGCATTTAAGCTATCGGAGCGACCTTATGCCTCTGACCTACATTCTTGATGAAGTATACGCACACAAATATCTAGAATTCATACATGTATGAAAGCTGAGATCTGCTGTGCGGAAGGATTTTTATCCATTACTGCATATCATCAAATAATTATTTCCGTTAATTTGTCGACTCTAGCACACATTCTGGCATATGCCAATTGAACAAATAAACCATCTTAATTGTCCTGAATTTAATTATTCTTCAAAAAATTTATCTCAGATAAATTCATTTATATTAGTTAAGAATTTTTATAACATGTATTTAGAATTCGAATAAAATATCTTGTAAATTATGAGCGATTAAAATCGAAGTTTTTCTGATCAATATTCTTTTTAAATAAAAGAATGAAACGACAGTTTTATTGAATACACTACTTCGATTCATTTGAATTACTTACATTCGATCAAAATTAGACCATTTTTTTAAAAGCCATGTTTTTGATTCAGTGCTTCTTTCAACCTATAATATAAGCAAATCTTAATTTCCTATTTCTTTCTAAACTGTAAAAATAGGGAAAGCTATGTTCCAACACCAGATATTAGTTGTATGTTTATTTTAGCAAGAATATTTGTTATTCGCAAAGAAAAAAATACCTTGTCTCTTGATGATGTATTTCGTCGAACATCAATTGTTATTGCGGTCTCATCATTATCATTATCATTATCATTATCATCATCATTGTTCAATAAGGCAACCTCGTCTGACGAACGACGTTTTTGCTGAAAATGTTATTCGAAAATTGGTTTGATTTTTTTTTTAAATTAAATCCTTTTCTCTTTTCTCATTATTTTTCTTATCAAAAAAGAAATGATTCAAAATAATAAACATATCTTACATTATTATTATTATTATTATTATCACCCATGACTCGATATCTATCATTTGCAGATGTTTCAATTTCTTCATTAACATTTGTTCTAAGAAAAAGAAAAAACTTCATTTTGTCTTTTTACAAAAGAAAATGCTTTTTACCGAATTTTAAGTAATTTTAAAACTGGCGCTGTTAATGTTCCATTAAATACAACAGTTAATATAACAATGATTGATGTTGTTGTATACATAAGTGAACGAGCTTGTGTTGAAACATTTCGAATAGCCAATGCAAAAGCAAAAGCACCTCGTAAACCAGAAAATATAATCATCATTTGCCAACGCCAACCAATTGGATCTTTACGAGTTAAATTAAGTAAAAATGATAAAAATACTACGCATAATATTCGAGCTAATGCAATAGTCATCTAACAGAAACAAAAAAAATAAAAAACAAAATTATTTGAAAATAAAATCAAAATAATTTGTTTTACAAGTGATAAAATAATAAATCGAATATCCCATTGATGATTTGGAAATGTAAATAATGTTATGCCAATATAGATAAATATAAAATTTTCAGCAAGAAAATTAAATAATTCAAATAACTAAAAAATAAAATAATTAATTTTAAAAATAAGATTTCATTTTTAACATACATCACGTGTTCGTTGTTTAGATTCTTGAGAGAGATTATTAAATGTATAATGCGCTTGAAATATGCCACAAAAGAGTACAGCCACAATACCTATTTAATTAAATTATATTTTCTATTTTATGAATATTATGTTAAATAGTTAATTTCATGGATAATCCGGGATGTACAATCATACTTGCAAGAAAATTTTTTCTATTTACACTGGATGATGTCTGCTCACAAGGCATGAGGCACTTTTTGCAAATATTTGTATTTCGGCTTCTAATACATCCTACACATTTCTTAGGCTGTCTTGACAATGATCTTATAAGAATCAAGTCATAATGGGCTCCTAATTTTACAGTAATACTCATCGGGACGGTCTTAGATCTAGACTCTGGCCAACGGGTAGCTTCTCCTCAATTTCTGAAAATTTCCATTTTTCTCTAGTTGCATATTAGGGTTTATTTGCATAGTTCTTTTTCCAGAAAAAAAACAGTCAATACCAACGAATATCTTCAATTTGACTATGTGAATCACTGTTCTTCTACTCCAATTTTGACGACCTCACAAAACTTTTGTTAATAACTTTTTCATAGATAAATTAATTTTATTGTTTATAAAATCAGAATTTCGATTGAGTGGTTTTTTTACTGTATCAATAGAGAATTCAATTTATTTTTGTCATACTAGAAATGATCCTAATTTGAGTTTAATCATAAAATGTTCTTCTGTCATTATTTCGTTTGACTAAATTTCCTTTTGATGCATAAATAAAGGGATATGATTTCAACAATTATCTTAATAAATAGAAAACGATGGTAAAACGTTTTTTGTCCTTTTATGTATGTTACAGGAGAATATTAAATTGCACTAGCAGCAATAAGTACATATATCTTTTTATCGTGGGTGAGTGCAGGTGTTGATCTTGTTACATACCCACACTCAATATTTAATTTTGCTGATCTTCGTATTGTTGATCCAACAAACCTACTAACCATTGCATTTAGACAAACATGTAAACTATACATTTCATCAAGAACAAAACAGTTATAGAAGAATGTACTTGTAATGATAAATGTGCTACAAAATTTTACTCGTGCAAAGCAAAAAATGTTAAATGTTGCACAAAATGTCATCAAAAAACGGTGGGTATATATAACACCTAATTACTTTTTCAGGCAACAGCGCGTGTTTTACTTCAATTTAGTTCAGTGCTAATGGTTTTCACAAGATAATGTAGTTTTGCAAGATAATATAATAATTTTCACAGTAATAAAACACTTATAAATAAAACTAATCATGCATTTATTACTGTTAAAGTAATTTAAAATTCTCTTATATAAGAAATTAAAACTGTGAATTGCTCTAACTTTTAATGTCTCCTGTAAGGTATATTATATCTTGATCTTAAATTTAGATATACAAAAATCATTGTATTGAGAATTAGAAGAAAAAAGATGAGCGCTGTGTATGTTCAAAAAGAAAATCTGTTCAGAGTTTTCTTCTGTCCAATAGCGTAAATATCATTTCTATTTTTATATTCTTTATTTGGAACTTTCTAACGGAATTCTTATTCGATAATATTAATCTCTTAATTGCAACATAATAAAAATAACTTTTACAGCTACTCAGAAACAATTCTTGTTATTTGCGTAAGAAATTTGTTCAACCTAAATATGTGTCTTTGATTATCTTGTCTTATTGAGCTATAGGTATTCGACATTTAATATCAATAACAAATTGAAAGTTATTTTTATTTTCTTATGAAATATTTTAATAAATAGAAATATTATTCTTAATGAATCTATTTTCATTACCTGTCAATCCTGCAGCTTCAGAAGCCAAAAACGTACTATATGACATCAAAACAAAAAGTGTTGTTTCCAAAAGTGGAAAATCTCGAATGTATGTAAATTTAGTCATCTAAAATAAAATAAAATAAAATATTATTTTGAAATAAAATTTCTTAAAAATCATACTAATGCTGTAAGACATCCCATGCCTGATCCGATAGCAAATGAACCAATAAATACGATAAAAAAGTTATATAATGATTTAAGCATAAGACCTCGATCAAATTTGTCTAATATTGCACTAGCGACATATTTTTCAATCGATCTAAAAATTAAAAAAAAAATCCTACATCTAATTAAAAAAATAATTTTTTTTTGCATACTGAGCAAGAACTATACAAACAGCATCATTAAGTACACTTTCACCAAATATAATTGCATAAAGATCAACATCCACATTTAAATCATTAAAAATTGCTAATACAGTTACTACAGAAAAAACAAACAAATCTTCAATAAAAATAAAAACTATTTAATTAAAATCTTACCTGGATCAGTTGCTGATATTATAGCACCAAAATAAAGTGAATCCGTAAATGAAAAATAACTTTTTAAACTGCTAAACGCACGTACGGAACCATATATCATTATACTTAAAAATAAAAATTTAATTTAATATTTATAAATAAAACATATGAAAATACCCTGTGGATATACAAGCAATTGTTGTACCAAGAAGTGCAAACATTAAAATAGCTCCAAGATTACGAAAAAAATTTTTCTATTATTAAATAAAAATAATATAAAAGAATAATTATTAATAAAATAAATAAAAATAATTACATACTCTTTTCATACTATAACCAGCATGAAAAATAATCGGTGGTAAAATTATATTAAAGAATATTTCTGAATTAAACATTGCCTTATAAACATAAAAAGAAAATTTTCAAATATTTAATTTCATATTAAAAAAAACAACTTTATATTCTTCAAGATGTATTGCATCTTTTTGATATGGTCCTTGAAAAGAATATAAATATGTTGCTGACACATTTTGATCTCTATATATAAATATATGATAAGAAAAATAAACAAATTTTTATTTTATTTAAAGATATTTACTCAATAGAGATCCAATTGGGTACTGTATTTTTCGGTAGGGATGTTTGATTCAATCTTAATATACTTGGCTTTGCATTTGATGTACTAGTATGACGAAGAATAGCTCCAATAATAAAACCTAAGAAAATAATTCTTTATGAAAAATAAAAGATTCTTTTTTAATATATTACCATAAATCAATGCAAGACATGTTTCATGTATATAACGGAAATTTCGTCGTTTAAATATCCATATTGTTAAAACAACAATAACAAGAAGTGTGGTAAAAATCAGTAAATTCAGTGAATCAGCTCGATGAACATTGGCCGTTCGTTCTTCTTGATTTGATTCGATTTTTTCCGCATCTAAGCCGCTGGTTGACATTATAATATATATATTTAGAAATATATTTAGTCTGACTGTATCGGATTAATTCAACGAGATGTTTAGAAAAGAGAAATGGGAAAAAAAGGAAGTTTTTGTTTTTTTACTTTGACTTGAGAGAATATGTACAAGATAATCTGAAATAATAAATGTCTATGTAGCGTTTTCGCTAATTACTCTCCAAGATACATATAATGGAGCACATTTTTTGTACCCATTTTCTTTGAATCAATAAGCATGAATGATTTGTCACGATATACAGAAGGGACTTATTTCTTTTTTTGAAAGAAAGTGATAACTGATATGAGAGCAAGGATTTTTTGCTTAGCTAATAGGTATTAGTCAAGAAACATGTATCATTTGAGTATATACTAATAGATTATCTTCAAATTTATTTAGCAAAAAATTCTAATCTTACCATTTATCGTACGAGCATCGTGTTCACTTGCTTCAATTAAATCTTTCATTGAATTATAAATAGTTTCAAAAAAGTTTTCTGATTTAGTAGATTGATTAAATCTTGAAAGTGTAATAGTTTCACTATTGATTGTCTCACTGTTTGTCTCGTATACCGCCATGAGAATAATACTGTTAATGTCTGTTGCAAACCGTATGGTTTCATTTAGAGGACGAAAAAAAAATCCGTTTCCATTGTTTTTTTCTTTTTCGAGAATATTATTTATCTGGTACAAATATTAGTGCAGCATATGCTACTAATCTTTTTTTTCACTTCTATCGGCTTTTACTTCAAATTTTGTTCTCTTATCTTATGCTTAAAGACATCTATTTCTGTTTAATATTCGATATGAAATAGTTTTTATTTTTCATGGGAACAATGATTAATTATTATTCAGATATTCATCTCTATAAAAAAAAAGAAAGAAAAATATCGTCACTCATTCCACGAAAGTATAATGGGTCGCATGAGAAAAAATGTTAATTGAATACATCTGACAGGTATATAAGGTCGTTTTTTTTCGAAAAAAGTAAAAAAAATAATCTCTATTGACCGCTTATCTTGATACTTATTGTTATCATTGAACTCCGAGATCATAAACTATAAAATTCACTTTACTAAAGAAAAAGAATAGTGTAGATAATTGAATAGAAGTTCTGCTTAAACAGTTTGCTTTTTTTTTTACACAGAATTTAATAAAATGAAATAGCTCATATGTATAACCCACAAATAGGTCGGGTTTTACAATATCTATAAATCTTATTTTAGTGATTCATTTATAAATAATAAATAACAAATATAAATATAAACAACATAAAAACATTCACAAGTCTTGATTAAAACATTCATTTTATGTTTCCGTACATTTGTATATACTCTCAATAAAAAGAACCTCGTCAAAATCTTTCCTGATGAAAATTCGCCAACCCGTACACGTTAGACTACATCTCAAGAGAACAGCAAATGGACGTAATTCACTCATAGCTGTTGTTGGTTAGTGTTTTTAAAGATCTTCTATTGGTCTCTTACTAAACAAGTCCTATTTAAAAAAAAGAATAAGCAAATTTCATAACAGTGACATCTATTGCAAGTTTCAAAAGCAAGGTAAAAACAAATCAAGTTTTAATAATACTAATACGAGCTGTTTTAACAAGTATTGGTTGATTTCTTAATTGTTGTATTTCTTTAACTGAAGTCCATGGATCAGTAATTGCTTTTCGATCATCTCGAGCATTAGATTTTAACTTTGGTAAATTAATATTTTCTTCTTCATCAATACTTTCAACAATAGTAAATTTCGTAGACGAACCCATTTTTTTCCTTGTTAATTGTTCTTGTTGATCTCGTTTGTTTATTTTTTCTAATATTTTTGCATGTTTACAAAATGATTCATCACAGGATATATTTGGTAACATTGGTGTTCCTGGCGTACTCTCTAATCTTGAAAATGTCACTCTACTCGATGAGTCTGTTCCAATAGGAGGCAACTTTGAACGTGAAACAACTGATGCATCTTTAAGATGAACAGGGATTGTTGCACGACGTACTTGACTATTTGTGATATTTTTATTCGAACGATTGAGTAAAATAAGAAGAGAAATTTCACGAAGAAATTCGCCCCAATTCATCAGAGAATTTTTTCTAATATAAATTAACTAGAACAAATTTATTTCAAGTTTAAATCTTACTTAGATGTATCTTCCATATCCTCGTTATAGCCTAAAATTGCGTCAATAAATTCGATACCATATTTTTTTCTAGAATGAAAAATACTTTGTTTGTTTTTAATATTAGAGTAATTAAATTTGTAGCTACTCAAGCAATAGAATAAGATCATGATGAACTTGTTTGAAATGGTTTCTTGTTATAATTATATTAGAATTATTATCAAATGTTTTTTGTGGATCTTTAAAAAAAAGACTTTTTGCCATAACCAATTCTTTTGCAGTTAGTTTCGTTGTTAATTCAGTCTTAAAATAATTTTTTAGAAAATAAAACAAGAAAAAAAAATTATTTAAGAAAATATCTTACTTGATCTTTAGCAGCAATAAATTTACAACTATAAAAAAGAGCAAAATCCGACCAACAAATAATACCTTGTTGTGTTGAATCCATTAAACTAAAATATTTTTTTCCTAACTCATGATTACGTTGAATAAATAATTCAAAATCAACTGATTTTCTTTTATTTGATTTAAGTGAAAGATATTCTTCTAAAATAATATAACCATCTGAAAAAAAACTCTCGAATTTATTTTAAATCTTTTTTTAAACTAAACACTTTGTCTTTTTACCTTTATTTGCATCAATTTGTTCGAATGCCTGAATTACAGTATTAAGTTCATCTTGATTAAGTAATCGAGTAAGATCGCTCTTAATTAAAATTAAAAGAACCAAAAAGAAAATTTTGAATTTAAAATATTAAACAATTTACACATCCTGGACAACTCCAATCTTGTTTTGAAAGACGTCGTATAGACAATAATTCATCACCACCATAACCATGTTCAATAAGACATTGGCAATGATATGCTTTAGTACAAATACGACAACGAACATAGTTACCAACACAAGCACCATCACACGATGAACATGATAAATCATACGCAATAGTAATCTGGTTTAATACGAAAATAAAACAAACATTATTGATTACAATTATGTGTCAATATTATTTAAATACTTGAGCTACATCCTTTTCTGTTGGCATTCGAGGTGTTTGGTATGATTGCTCAGATCTGGAAACACTTGATGTTCCATATAATGAATTTCTGTTTGTTACCGATCGTTGACTACTTAAACTAGGTGCCGGACCTATGAAAAAAAAATTCTATCAGACGAAAAACAAAAAAAAAGATTGACAGATATTGTTTTAATAATTTACGAGAAACAAAGCTCTTCAAGTATATTTATGTAAAAAGAAATCAATGTTTGACATACATTGTTTGACGTCAACAACTAAAAATAATGATAGTTACCCTGTTTGTGACTTAATCGCGTTGTTTGCCTCGATAAAATATTCAGTGAAATATCTCGTGCGATTTGCCAACCAGGTTTCTTCGTTGTTGTTGAAACTTGCCTTGTTATAGGAGCTCGTTCAGTATCGGTCCATGAAGGATTTTGCCTCTCTTGTTGTTGCATTTCACCATTTGAAGTATTCATTTTAAAATGATGACTTGAATCATCTTGTTGCTCATTACCCATCTTTGTATATAAATGTGTATATATTTATTTCGAAATCGAATAAGAATGACAAGATCGATAATAATACACTTAAAACTCTTCCATTTTTCTTTATTTTATGAGAACAGTGTAAGATGTAATGCGAATAAGAAAATAGGTGGGAGAAAAATGTGAGAGGGAAGGAAAGCGATAAAGACAAAGAAAAACAAGCAGTGTCATTTTCGTTTTTCTCTTAGAAGTTTTGTCCTTGTCACTGTAACAAATATTTGTCAGTGATGTCGATTAACTCAGCAAGCTGTGATAAGATTAGACATGAGAAATGAAATATTATTCTCAATTAGATGTTTTTTCAAAAGAAAATACATCGATAATGTACTTTATCAAATAGTAGAAATTTTTATAACATTATAGATGAGCTTTATGTTCCATAATAGTCTTCAGTTTAGAACACGGTCTGTTTTTGTTTCAGATTAATTCTATTTGAAATGAGTAAAACAAAAGTCTTATCTTTCTTGATATGAGATTTTTCTTATTTATTAGTTGATAACTGTCATAATGTCTAAAGAACAGAAAACATTGAATAACATAACCAGATGATAGTATTGTTTTAAACTTAACTTAGTAATGTTTTACTTAGTTATCTTGAAATTAGTAATAACCACAAAATATTTTCTTGTTGTCTTAAAACATATTATTTTGAAGTTTGCGAATGTGGATTTGAAAGAATATATAAAAAATCATGAGAAGTAGTTAAGAGAAAATTCTTTTATTAGTAGAACTATTTCAAAGAAGAAGTACCATATTACATAATCCAAAACATGTGAATGATATTGCTTACATTTTTACAATAGTTTGTAATTTCTTGAAAAGTTTTAAGAATAGAGAAATTATTATAATATTATCAACAGAGTTATAAGCCGATCGGTTGAGTCAATGCTATTGATAGTCGAAAAACTTTCAAGAAATCTCAGTCGTTGCAGCCATTGGTCCCATGAAAAGTTGCTGAAAATTTAAGCTATTGCCGTTATCTGTACATAAAAATAAATACTAGATTTTGAAAGTTTTCAATATCTAAGATCAGTTTTTTAGGATGTTCTTGTCGAGTTTCTTATCATTATATTCTCATTTTTTTATTTTTATAATTTATTCTGAATTAAGAAAAGTTTTGAAAATTCATCGAAAACTTTAAGCCAACGCTGACAAAAGGAAAAAGTAACAGTGATTAAGTCACCGCTGTCGATTAATCCATTGGCTGATGCCTCTACTCTTGTCACAAAAATCTTTGTTATTATAACAGTAATGTATAGCGTGAAAGAAATTCAATCTGTCAAAATACTCATACTCAACTTTGAATCACAAACTTTTGAATTTCTAATCAATCGAATATTGATATTAAATCTGTTTGAAATAGAAACTTTAAAATATTTATATTATTTTTCAAGAGTATTTATCGAAAACTTTGAGTCGATTGAAAATGAATGCCGAAAAAGATACATAAAAGACATAGATGATATTGTTAACGTAAGTCCAATGGCTATACTGAGCGAAATTATGATCTGAATCAATGTTTTAGATAAATGTTGACGACGATTTTCTTGAATTATCTTTTTCTGTTCATTAATTTTCTCGTACTCATTTTTGATACAGACAGGATCTTGTTCAAAGCAGCCACGTAATTCAATTGATTCATCATCAGATCGAATATGATATTTATAAGCAGGATGACACGTTCTTGAACATGGAGACCATTCGACTAAATGATTTGTATTGCATATTATTGAGCAGATTAACAATGAGAATATTACTATTGAGCTGAACATGATAAGAAAAAGCGCGTATGTTCATTAAATGTACTCTTTATATATTTTCCAAATAAATATGTCTTGCTCAATGTTTCTGAATTAGAATGATAAAATAGAGCGAAATCGATAATTTTTGCGTTCATGGTTATATAATTGTAGAAGACTTTTTTTCTGAAATTTGTTACACATTCATTAAAATTCTATTGATATATGATCATTCAACATATGAAACTTGGAATATTTGATATCGACGATGACATTTTACTTTGAGAAATTAAGAAATGTAAAAAGCAATATTTTTATTGAGAAGAAATTGATTTATTAAACCAGTATTTTGAATGATTATCAGTTACTGAACGTTAATGCTATTCTTATATCTTTCATGTTTTAATAGTAGATTTAATTAATTTTTCGATTGAATAAGTAACTAGATAATCAAACATCTCCAGGTAGAAAAAAATCTTGCGAAAATCGTGTAAGATCCTAGACGATCTTATCGACAATCGGATGTCGTAAGTGTAGCGACAAACTAGAGAGAGATTACTACCGTCACTCTTGCTAATGATTTTTATTCAGCTACGTCATATCTCCAGAGTGTAACTACTTCACATACAACGCATGCTTAATTAGGAGAGAGAAAAAGAGAGGATAAAGAAAAAAAGAAGATCATTGGGAATTTATATTAATATTGCCACAGTAAAATTCATATTGTATTATCTTACAGAATCGTGTAAATAACTTACTGTAAGATTTAATATGTTTCATACAGAAAGATACCCCTCTGAATCTCATACGATTCTTACATTGAATTTCTCGCAAAATCTTAAATAAAGAGAACTATTAAAAATATTTAAAAATCCATTTTCGTATTTGTATCACTTGAGTCTGTGTCATTATAATTTGAAGGTTATGATTCAGAAATCATGCAAATATAATTATACTTAATATAGATTACCATATTGAATATTAATGGAGTAAATAAAAAAATTGATGTCAAAAAGAGGAAACTAGATCGGTAAAAGTAAAAAAAAAGGTATAGTCTATGTACACATCCAGATGAATCATCGAATCAATGTCGAAATGCACTTTCTACTTTTTATGAGGCATCAGAAGATAAAAATACGATGGAAATACTTTAAAATAAATTCTCTTTCAAACTGCGTTTTTATTTTTTCAATAAAGTTAGTCTCACGCATTTCAGAGCGTAAAAGAACTATGCAACAGTAGATGTCGCACACTTCAATTTCATAATTTTTGTCTATAACTCCGAAGTTTTAATTCATCAGAAGAAATTAATACCATAAATGTTCAATGTTAGTTTTTTTCTTTATTTATTATAAAAATGGGCTCTTAAAAATCAGTCTCACCAAAGTGCATTGGTGGAAAATATTTCGACATTGATTGGCAATTCCAGCTATGCTTTTTTTCACCAGATCACGTACTAGTATGACAAGTAAGTTAGTACGATGGTTGGAAGGGTAACTGGTTCTTTGGAACACCAGTCAAAAATGATGAGATGTCGCTATTACGATTTTTTTCATTTGATTCTATCACGTTAATGAGTTGATCGGTGCACTGTCCATGATATATGATTCAAGTAGCTTCTACTTCCTTTTGTATATTTGATTTTTTGTTTCAAACTACCGAGTCATATGGGATAATTTATGTACGAAAAAAAAAAGTGGAAATTTATTTCACAACCGAATGAGATATTTTATGTGAAGCACAAGTTTCTATAAGCATATATTTAAGAATGAAAACGGTTTTTCTTTCTTCTGCTCTCTTACGTTATCATTGAAGCGGTTTGTAACGAGGGTGTTTCGAGTGGGAAGGGGATCCCTAATCTTGAAAAAACTTCGTATTTCTTCAGTGAAGGTCAGGCATTTTATTGTTTCTTTTGCTCATTGACTCCCCAAAAAACGTGCACTGCTCCTTCCAAACCCGATTAACTTTAGCTAAAATCTACCGATTGCATTATTGAGTCATTCTCCGTCCATCTCCCTATCCCACCCATCGCGAATACTGATGATCTTGGAACACCCCTGCTTGTGGCAGATTGCCAAGAATAGGTCGATGACAATAATGAGCATATGATAATTATGTTTTCTGTTCAATTCGTGGTCATATCATTCATATAAAAGCGTTCTAGATTAATTCATCCCATGGAGTGAAAAAGTCAAAAAAACTCATGATTTTCGTGAATTTTATACAAAACAACACGAAAAAAAATGGCATTTTTCATGATAAAACGGACAATACAATTGATATTTTTCAAATTTATTGATGAAAAGTGATGTTTTAATCAAGCAAATCCAGTGGATTTCATTTCTCATCAAAATCATGCAATGAAATTAATGAAAATGTCTATTTTAATCGATGAATTTGAAATATATCAATTTTTTGTCCGTTTCATCATTTTAATGCCAGTTTTTTTATTTGTTAACTCTCTGGGATTGCTTCAAGATTTCATACAGATGTCTTAGGAGAAAAAAGCATCTGCTAAGAATTAAAAGAAAGCAACGTCTTATAATTTTATTTGACAGTATACTAGATCGTACATAAGGTTTTGTGCATACAGTATATAAATTAAACAATCTGATTGATATTGCCATGTAGAAAAATCAAACAAATTAGTTAATTCAGTTTTTATTCATGTAGACTATCAATGTCAAGATCTTTTTGATCTCTTTATAGTTTATAGATATGACACACACTAGTGCAAGTCATTCAACTCAAACAGTTGCAATTGTGGGTGGTGGACTCGTACGTAATCAATTCAAATAAGCTTTCAATAAAAGAATCATGAAATTGATTTTATAGGGTGGTACTTTGTGTGCATGTTTTTTCGCTAAACATGGTATTAATGTTCATTTATTTGAATTACGATCAGGTCTGTTTTAAACATTTACACATTGTATAAAAAAATCATTTATATGATTTAGATATTCGTACACAAAAAGTTGTTAAAGGACGTAGTATTAATATGGCATTATCTCGTCGAGGTCGTGATGCTCTTGCTTATGTCAATTGTGAGGATGTTATCGTTCGAAATGGTATACCAATGCGTGCACGAATGTTACATGATCTTAGGTGTCATACAAAAGCAGTACCTTATGGTACTCATCCAGAACATGTAATATATTTAAATGAAAAAGGAGGATTTTCTTCCAATGATTTTTTTTATCTTTTAAAAGGAAATTATATCAATTGATCGTCGTATTCTTAATGAACTTTTACTAGATGGTAATTTCCTCTTCTGTAACTTTTTTTTTTCTATTATTTCTTATTATTGTTTGTTTTTCTGCAGAAGCAAGTAAATTTTCTCAAATAAAAATTCATTTTCAACATAAATTTATCAGTTGGAATCAAGAAGAAAAAGTTGCAACATTTCAAAAGTATAAATTAATCAAAAATTTTTTTTTAATAATTTTTTTTAATTATAATTAGTAAATCTGGTGATGAAGTTGAGTTTAAAGTCGATGCTTTAATTGGTTATGATGGGTAAATAAAACAAAATATTCTATTTAATTAAATAACAGAAAATTAATTTTAGATGTCATTCAACTGTTCGTGCAGCAATGATGAAAACCGATATAGTTGATTTTTCTCAAGAATTTATTGAAAGTCATTATATGGAATTTTGTATTCCACCAAAAGATGGCCAAGTAAATAAAATAAAGAAATTTATTTTCTTTTTCAAATCTTTTATTTGATTAAGTTTGCTATGGAAATAAACTATCTTCATATATGGCCACGTCATGATTTTATGTTAATTGCTTTACCAAATCAAGATAAATCTTTCACAACAACACTTTTTTTACCATTATCTATTTTTCAAAAAATAACAACAATTGATGAACTTTTAACATTTTTTCAACAATATTTTCCTGATGCTATTTCATTTATTGGACGAGAAAATTTAATTGAAACATATTTTTCATCAAAACCATTACCACTTATTTCAATCAAATGTTCACCACATGTTTCAACAAACGGAGATATTTTAATAATGGGTGATGCTGCACATTCAATGGTTCCATTTTATGCACAAGGAATGAATTCAGCATTTGAAGATACGTTAGTTTTATTTGCTAAATTAAAAGAAAACGATTTTCAGTTATCAAAAGCATTTTATGCATATAAGTAAATATTGAATTTAAATCAAAAGAAATTAAATATATTATTTTTCATGTAGCAAAGCTCGTATACGTGATGTTCATGCAGTTGTTGATTTATCAATGTATAATTACCAGGAAATGCGTCATTTAGTGACTCTACCTTCATTTTTTTGGCGTAAAAAAATTGATAATTTTTTATATCGATTAATACCAAAATGGTGGATACCTTTATATACAATGGTAACATTTACAAGAATTCCATATAAACGATGTTTAGATTTACGTCAACGACAAGATCAAATATTAAAAATGGTTCGTTTTATTGCTTACTCTATTACTGGAATATATTTAATCAAACAATATGCATTTACTATAATAAAACCGATAGCTACTAAATTTATTGTGCAAAGCATATTACCAAAATTTGCAACATGATCAAGTAGTTTAACTGGTTTCGTTTTCGAGAACTAATTGAATCTGTTTTTTCAAAGTTTATATATTTCTTATAGAAGTGTGTTTTTTACTAAAAAAAACATTCAAAATATACCGGTTGTGATCTTTAATACTAACTTACAAATGCTTCCATAATTATAACTAACTGATCGTTCTTTACTTTTATTTTACATTTAACAATTAACTGTGCTTTTTTCGTCTTCCAGATAAATAAATCACAAATGATTAGAAATTTGTCCGATTCAATTTTCAAGAAATCTCAAGCATTATATTTTTTTAGTAAACATAATATTATTTAGATATTTTTCAAAAACAGACTATGCTGTAAAATTTTAATATGTAAAACTTTTGAACAGAGTACAAGATATACTGAGAATAATTGATTGGAATACAAACAATCTACTGTCAATTTTATTTTAACTTATTAGTCTCAATAAGATTGTATAAAAAAATGTTTTAATATTCATCTTTTTTTCTCAATATATATCATGAATAACGATAATTATTCATTCGATGCCATTCTTGCATAAAATGTATTTTAATAAGTTTCTAATTTTAACAGTTAATCAAGTTTCTATACATATTGATAATACGTATCGAATATTCTCCAGTTTTCAAAACTTAACTCTTGATGTCATGGTTTCTCGTAATCCAGGAAAATAATTTAATTAATTTGAAGTTTTATGAATAAGTTTCTATAATAGAATCATCATATATAATAAATAATTATTTTCGATCTATTAGAAATTTCCACTATATGAAATGAGTAAATATTTATGCAATATCTAAAATAAACATTATATTGAAGGAAGAAACTATCACGTAATCAATAGATAAGTTATAATTAGTGCTATGGTTTTCAATACAATACTTGAGTTTCAACTTGTAGATAATAAAAAATTCATTCTGACTTAAAAAAACATCATCTTCAGATTTTGATAATGGTTTTAGATGTACAAGTCAAATTGAAAATTTATTTCGATAGACATATTTATGTACAAAAGTATTGTTTAACATTGTTTTCTTCTTGCTTCTGAAATATGAAAAAATTGTAATACAAAACGACTATTATTCAATAGGTTGAGTTAGTGAAACGATCAATGAATAAATGATCAAATATCTTTCAGTTTGATATAAGAGTAATTCACTACTGTAATGATATAACCAAAACTAATACTCCAAATGTTGTTCACATGAACAAAAAAGTCTAAATAACTTTACGTTGAAATTTCTATCGAATAGTAAATTTTATTAATAGTTAAAGCAATATTATTCTTATCCTTGTTAAGTTCATAAAGAAAACTGTCACATCATATATTGCCTACACAGCAAAAGATAAAGTTAGCATCTATAAAAACACATACACACACATATACGCAACATAATAACATAACCCTAAAACTAAATTTTTTAGTAAAAACTATTAACAAATAAAATTCTTGTTCCATTTTAAAATTCAAATTTGAGTTACTTCAACTATTTCTTCAATAGTGCTCGATGAATCTTGTATATTATTATTGTTATTATTAATATTTTCATTGAATGATGAATCAGTACCCAAGTGACTAATCACAAATTTTTGATTATCATCCGATTTTTGATAACGTTGATTTAAAATACACATGAATGTAATTGCTAATATCTGTAAGAGAGCACAAAGGCCTGTAACACCACCAATTATCAAAAATTCAAAAGTAACATATTGATTAACAATTGAATAACAACCATCAGTATGTATCAATGACATTGTATTATTTGAACCATTATTATTGTTAATACCAATATCACGCCAGCAATTTGATACACGACAACATGATAAAGGTAATGAATCAAGTGAAAAATTTTTGTAATCATCTTTATTATTAATTCCACAACATGCGTATTTTGATTGAAGATAATCGAGAAAGTTTATTGTTATTGACCGTGATTGATGAAGAGAACCAGTGAGGAAAATATGTAATTGCGGAAAAATTACATAATAATAGAGAAGTAATATAGCAAACATAACAAGATTAATTGCAACTGTAAATACCTACGTATAGAAGAAGTAATATAGTATTTAGAAAAAGATTTAAATTAAAAACTAACCCATAAAACAGCGATGAATAATGATAAAGGTCTATTTCGTTTAGCCATGCCATAAATAGAAAATAAGACTAATATTAATGAGATAAAACCTAAGCCAATAAATACCATAAGAATATACGCCAGACATGAATCAACTTTGTCTGTTTTGATAAGACGATTGATTATAGCTATATCAATTTGAATGAAAGTTAAGTAGATACCCAAACAAAATTGTACAAGACTCGCCAATCCAATGAACGCACATAGAGTACAGAAAAAACAGGCAACATTAAAGCAACAAGCCATTTTGTATTACGTTATATTAGGTGTGTATATGTGTATGCTCTTGTTCTCAAAAGGATAATAAGGACTGCTTCCACCTCTCTCTCTCTTTTCAAATAAACGTATATATATATATATATATGAGTGTGTATATACACACACCTATATTTTCTTTCGTTCTTTTCTTATTGAGCCATAACACAAGAGCCAAAATGCGAGAAAGAAAGAGTTCATATTGTCTTACATCTTTTATAAATTTTCTTTCCCTCCCTTGCTCACAGCTAAATAACGCATTGCAGACAGATGCATACCTACGTAAGAAACTCTTTTTGTTTGCTCTGCTCTTTATATTTTCTCTTTTCTGAAGATAAAATACTGGATGCCGTAGTCTGTCTATGTCTCTTGATATGTTTATATTTGTTTAATGTAAGCCAGTTGAACATGGTTCTATTCCCATGGCATCATAAGAAAAGGAGAGAAAAGGCGAAAAGCATATGATTCGAATTTGTGTATACACACGTGTATGTCTGACAGACAAGTTTAATAAAACTTGTTACATGTTCTCTTGCTTGAAATAAAATAAAATAGCTTTTTTAGTAGTTTACTATGTAGAAGAGAATTAACGACGATTGAATACGATGACAACGGTCAAATGATTGTTATTTATTATTATTATAAAAATATTGAGATTATAGAAAATGAGAGAGACAGAATACACTTGAGAGAATCATTGAATCGATTTATATGAAGTGAAACGATATATTTTTATCATTATTTCGAATATTGTCATATCAAAATTTGAAAAGAATGTTTTGATTACTATCGATACATAAATAATATCATTGATATGTAACAAACGAAGTTTCTCGAATTCTAAAATAATGAATATAAACGTTATATACTACTAATTCAGTTATTATCGTCTGAAGAGGATGTTGTCATGTGCTATATTATTCTTGTTCTAATTTAGGCTTTGGTCGACATGTGTCATAAGTGTTTGTTGCTGTTTACTAACCAGAATCATTATCTATGTATAAAGTAGCAATTATCAGTTTGTCTTACTTTATTCTATATATATCTTCGTCATAGCTTGTGTTTGAAGAGCGTTAAGTAAAAGTCTGTTTTCAACCACAACAAAAACGATTGACCAGAAATAACTGTTTTTTTTTACATATTGACTATAGTTTTTTGACATAAAATGTATTTCTTTTTTTGGGATCCTAATTATAGGTATCGCCTACGATCTACATTTTCCTATTTCGGTAAGATAAGAGATGCCAAGCAAAGCACCCACTCATATGGATAGAAACCATAGAAAGAGTGTAATGCAATACACTGACAGCATATATCTAGGCCTGTTTCGTGGCTAGTTAACAGTTTTTTCTTAATCAATACAATCGAGAAAATAAGATGGCATTGGACCGAGCTGTTAAAGACAAAGTATGAATAATATATATATTGTAATGGTGGAATAGATGATTTATTATTATTTTATGTTTTAGATTTCTTACAAACAAGATCCTGAACAAGAAAAAGCAGCAAAAGAATGGGTTGAAGCTGTAACTGGTGAAAAATTTCCCACAGACGATTATGAAGAAGCTCTTCACGATGGAATTATTTTATGCAAGTAAGATTCACTTATATTGCAAATACCTGCAGACTATTTATATTTTGTTTAAGATTAATGAATAAACTCAAACCTGGCTCTGTACCAAAGATTCATACACAAGGAAGTTCAATTAAATTACGTGAAAATATTGGTCTTTTTCAAAATGCTGCACGTGAGTACGGTGTTAATCAAAGTGAATTATTTCAAGCTGTTGATTGTTTTGACAAACAGAATATTCAACAAGTAACGGTACGTATTTTTGTTGTTATTTTATTAATAATAAGAATTACTTAATTAAAATAATTTAATTTATCTTTTTTAGTTATGCATTTTTGCTTTAAATCGCGTTGCTCAAAAGAATAATTTTAATGGACCCAAATTGAACTATCAAACCAAATTACCTGTCTATGATTAACTAATTGATAAAGCTGCAGAAAGAAAAAGAACTTATAACCGATTCGTTATTTATCACCTTCATTTTTCTTTATTAATAAACATAATCTAAGCAAATAAATAATAAATAAATATGCCTATATTTTCTATTGATAAATTTAGCAATCGTATTTTACTGCACATATCCCGTGTATCCTCATATTCACACTTCAGGTCACGACATTTTGTTTTTCAAAATATCTTCTTGAAAACTGAAGAACATCCATCATTAAATGTCAGAATAAATAAGACATATATAAATATATATTTTATTGTCCGATAACCTGGTTTGCGTAAAGTTGAGCTATAGCTCTTTGTTTAGCAAAATATCAAACTTTTAGTGTATGGTAAAACTCAGTAAAACAGATGAAAAGAATCTTTGTTTTCTCTAAGAAAATCAACGAAATCTGCCATATTTCCAATAATTCAAGAAAACACATGATTTCAATTGATTATTACTAGTGTTTCTGTTATTGGACTGAAATCTTCGTCTTATTCAATGTAGTTGATTTTATTGTTTTCATCTTAAACGAAATGAGAGGAAAAAATTGACGACTGTGCTATATTTAGGATATTGCGATTATTAATGACAAAGCTCGAGTATAAAATATATTTGTTTGGATTGATTCTTACATTACTCAATTTTTGGTTGGTATTTTGTATTTGAAGAACTATATTTGATCTTGGATCTTATAATGACCTCTTGACAATTTCTACATTTCTTCTTTAACCAATAATTATTTTGTCGTTGTGATTTTTTTAAACAATTATACACTGTTTTCAATAATTGGTATTAATTAATCTAACTTGCTTTTTTTTTTACAGTTTTTCTTGATTAGTTATTTATTTTGAATCAGTTGACACTCGATTTACATTGACTGTTGTTTGTGACTTATCTGAAAACAATTGAATTCTGTAAATTGACAAAAGGACGTTGTATAATTTACAATGATTTATAGTTGTGTATAATTAAGATAATCAATTTCAAATAGATGTTTAAAGGATTGTACGAAAAGATCGAAAGTCTCTTTAAAAAAATACTGAGTGAATCGTTGTTGCTTCAATACCGTTTGCATAACTCTTAGAAAATTCTCTTTATATAAGATATCTCATTTGTTTCAAGAATTTGTATTGTTGAATTTGAAAAGAATAGAACCCTTTCTTATATTTACTTATATGATTGAACAAACCAATACGTTCTATTTTTTTTTATTTGGCATGTAGAATCAAATTACAATCAGTCAATAGTTAAAATAATGTAATTGCTTGAGTTTCTTAGCATATATAAAAGACTTCATCAGACTTAGTTAAATTGTAGTTATATCTAACCTTTGATTTTGCAATTAAAAACAGAACAATAAATCATTGATACAAGTTCATTTCAACTTTTGATCGATGTAATTCGATATTTCTATATTGATGTGACGTATTAAAAACTATTCTTCGTCATATATCTTTCTGCTTCCATTTTTACGGCCTGTTCATATTTTTATTATTCTGTCTTTAAAATAAATCTTTGACTAAATCGAAAGATACAATATTTCTTAAATTATCATGTCTGATCCAACTCAGCCAGTGTCAAAGAACAATACTAACCTGTATCATCTAACTTTTCGTTTATTTTCTAAAGAGGGTCAACAGTTTTTGTTAACTTTCATTAGAACATCGTTGCTACTATAAAATGCACTACATGCATGCATTTTTGCACAACAAACATTTCGACTGTCAAACATTCATAGCCATTGCTTATGGTTTTTCCTTGCCGTAATTCGTCATTACAGATTATGGCGCGTTTTTCACCAGAACGTAAACAACGCTGTGTAAGGGAATTTACGCCAAAAAACAACCGATGATTAATATTAGAAGCGTATTAGCATCGTTTCTTTTTTTTTATCGCATACCGCTTAATTTATCTACTCTTACTAGACTCCGTACAACATCCCACGTGTAATATGCACGTACAAGCTATATTCATGTATATGTTTAAAAGTAGTAGGCACGCAAAGACAACACGAACGTATGATACAGTACAATGAATAGTTCTTTAAAATAAATTAATTGTCGAATACAAATATATGAAGTTCAACAAGTATACCTTTTTGAGTCAGAGCATTATCGCACAATCGTTTTTCAACATTTTCAAACATATAAGACATGTTATTTGAATATGAGGCGATCAATTTAAGACTTAGAACTTGAATAAACCTTCATATACAGTATCTGAAATAGAGAAAACAATATTCTCTCAACTATCGTATGCTCTTATGAAGAAAGACAACAAATGATGAATATACAAAAATGTGTAATTTTTCTCGGTAACTTAATAATCAAAATCATATTGATCATCGAGTAACTTAACAGAAGAACATTTTTGAAGGATATACGTTAAATTGTCGAACAGATCTCAATAAAAATTTACTTACTGATGTAAGAAATAGTTCAAAAACGCTACTGTCAAAGTGCTTGAGAAAAGCATGCCAGTATTGTCCACTTAGTATGAATAAATAAGATAATCAAGTTTTATTTATTATAGATTGTCTAAAGCTATTTTTTGAAACAATTCTTTCATTCGGTGTAAAAATGGTATGAAAACATGAAAATATGGCAGTTGAAAAGATAGTCATAACGAATCAACTCATTCCATAAAACATTAAAAAAAATGTATTTGATTCCATCAAGACTCTTAGTTTGGATTCTATTTATCTTTTTGGCAGTACACAATAATATTCATTTTATTATTTTTGTCAATAACTAAAACTAAACAAACAACAATATTTAAGTCAATGACTCGGTATTTCAATAGGCAACTACAGATGAAACCTGTCGGATCCGAATCCAAAGATTTTGGATCCTATAGGGTCTACTTGTAGAACTGCGGCCAGTGCAACTATTTCAGTATTCATAGTGGCTTTGATTCATATCTATCATAAGCAAAAATCTATTGAAATTTATCGATAAAGATCAATTATTATTTGATACAAGAAATTTTTTATCATCATTTTTTTCAAATTTATTTTTTATGCAAATATCGGAACAAAGATAATAAATAATTCATATTGACTAGAAACAAAACAATATCTGAACCGATTTAGATTTACGAGATGTTCATTTTAAATCTTTTCGAATATCTTTCAAAACATTTTCATCTTTAGTTTATGAAGATGAAACAACAGCACTTTGATCATCATCATCGTCAAGATTTAATAATTCTTCTTTGTTCAATCATCTTAATTGTCTACTTTCAGATTGTTCTTGATGGATGAATGAATGAACGAGGTGGTGATGACCAATTGGAATATTTCTTTCGATTGTTTTGATCCAGTTGTATTTGATAACGATCAATAGATGTTAATATAAATTTTATTGCTTTTAGTATCTTTTGACATGATATATCAAGTTGTCGATTTAATTCACATTCAGAATAGATAATATACTGTTGATAAAATGTATTATTAATTTGATCTTTTGTTGATAAAATTGTTCGTCTCGCATGATGTAATGATTGTTCATCATGCAAATTTATTGTTGATCGTATAGATTTTATTTCTTCAATCATTAATAGAACTGCTTCACGAAATTTCGATAGATTTTCACGATATAATAAATTTAGTAAATGATTTGAACAGTTCAAAATCTAAATAAAATAAAATAAAATAATCTTAGATTCATATTTGTGGCATACGGGTTCAAATAAAGCAAATTTTTCATTTGTTTCTTCATCGGCTGGTTCTCGTAATGAAGATACTGATTTAAATAAATCTGATGATGACAATGAAGATGTATTAAATTTGTTGTTAACATTCTCTAACCATCGGTTTCGAAGAGTCTAAAAAATTTAGATAAATTATTTTTGAAACTTGATGATATTATAACAATCAAAGTTAGATAGCATTGGGAAAATGTTTTCTCTTTTTTTTTTTGTTGTTGGATAAGTCACTTTTATCTCGACTCACGAATAAAAATCGACTTTGGCATGCGCAAAAATCAACTAAATATAACAGAAGTATAACTTCAGAATTGCTTTCCGTCGATTTTCGATAAATACTTTGACTTTTTTATTCGCAATCAAAGAAATTTTCAAAATTTTATTCTTTTTTTCATTCTCTTTCCTAGTTAGCTCTTCATTAGTAGATATCTATTAACAATAATCTAACTAAATTTGTTGTACTATTCGATTTGTTTTATTCATTAAATACCTTTAAGTTATCATAAACTTCAGAAAAAGAATTGTTAATCATTGAAAATATTTCAATATGATCAAACTGTTTCTTGTTCAACATAAGTAATGTATTTGTCGATTCACAAATGTCATGAATATGATTAAAACTGTTTGTATGTAATATAATTTCGGATTCACTCATTAACTGGAAATATTGATTTGATTGTTTCATTTTTTCTATTAATGGATCAATTGTTGAACAAACATAACCATTTAGAATGCATACGTATTCAAACAATTGTATTGATATTTGATCAAAACTATTTTGATTAATCCAATTATGAACATATTTTATTAAATTATTACTTGTAATTTTAAATGAATATTCTAAATATAATACATCATCATAAAGATCAATTATTATCAATTGATTACCTAGTGAAAATCTAGAAAAAATATTTCTTTTCAATTTTTTGTTTACAAACAAACTATATCTCATACTGATGCAATTGTTGATTGTCTATGACAAATTTCTTTGTAAGACATGTTGTTGGCGAACTAGTTCTTATTAATGTTGATGTTCTAACAAAATAGCTTATTTACAAAAAAGTATCTTTCGAAGTTTGGTTTACTTTTGTTCGTCTGTTGATGGTTTTATTGGAACTACATTTTTCGTTTTCGTCATTATTATTTCTGGCTGATCATCATCATCATCATCATCGTCATCATTAACTTCAAAACAAAAAAAAAAAGAGACGTGATCATATGAAAATTGAAGAAACAAATCAAACCTGCATTTGTACATAGATAAATAATAGTACTATTAGCATTCAATCCGTATATGTTAATATATTGCGAAAAATTTTTATATTCATTTTTATTTAGAGGACGATGTTGAAAGTCGTATAATGATGTATTTAGTTTACGACTGTCTATAATGAAGACAAATGACATATGAAATAGTTTAGACATTTTTTTGTTATTTTACTCAATTTGTAAATATTGAGAAGACGACGATGAACAGTATCGAAATCCATATCGTCATTATCCCAGGTACAAAAACGAGTACCACCACCATTTTCAAGTTCAAGTTTTTTTATTGTACGATCTTTGGTTAGCATTAAACGACCACAACGAAATTTTCTACTCATTTATTGTGACTATCTAAAAATTCGAAAATCCCAGATAGGTAAAATATATTGCGCTAGTGTTATGATCGTTGAATTTTATGTTCATGTTCGTTTATGTAAACCGTTTAGAAAATAGAATTATTTCGTTTTCGAAATCGAAATTTTCGAAAAGAAAAGAATTTAAAAAACAACTCCATCGCCATCTCGTATGTGTTATAATTAGTATGGAAAATCAACCAATAGAATTATAGAATATCAGAAGATTTGATCTATGTCTTAGTAAAATTTATATATTAAAATCATCAATATTATTCTTTTCAAAAGGTATTGGTTTTGATAAGTTAATTATTTTATTGCATGAAAAATATATGGAGAAAAAAAAGGAAGCTAGTAATTTATCATTTACAATATTAAATTGATACCGAAGTATTTGAATCTGATGTAATTTAACTTAAGACAAGATTTTATACGATGACTATGTGTACAATTAATTAAACCTTATCCGTTAAATGATTTTGGAAATATTTTCATATAGATATATAATTACTGTTTTGTTTATAATCGATAAGAATTTAATGTTTATTATAGACTAAACAAACTAATTAAAATGACTGATTATCAAATCAATATATATTCTTGGTTAGTTAATTTTTATTAGTGAGTCAGCTGATGAAAAACTATTAACAGATTATAAAGAATCATTAGTCAAATCAGAAAATAAATCTTTTACGAAGTTTAACAACATTGGAAATAGTATTTATATCAATAAATAACAATTACGATTTCATTTCGCATTAGTTGTTCGATTCACGGCACATATTTGGTCTTGTTCATAATACATATGAAGATCCACTATGCGTATTGGTTCAATAGCATTGTATAAAAAAAAATGAATGAATGGTTTTTTTCTTTGTCTTATTGTCATTTATATATCATCTTTGGTTGATCAATAAAATGATATATTTTGTTTGTACTAATGAATATTGATTTGATTAAAAGAGATTTATTTTAGAACAAATGTCTTTATTTGACACACATCAAGAGGATACAGATGAAGAAGAAAATAATGCCAATGAACAAGAACAAACTGATAATGATGATATTGCATTTGTTGCAAAACTAAAATCAAGTCGAACACTTGCCAGTATTCTCAAAACTATTCATTTTGCTGATGTAAGATTAATTGTTATATATTCCGATTATTAGGTTCAATAATCGAAAAGAATAATAGTTCCAAAGAATTCTAACTAAAGTCTGTTTTTTTTAAACTTATTTGAACAAAGTTCTGCAAAATTTTCTACTTATATCATAATTAATATTACTCATTTGTAACGAAAAATTGAAAGAAATGTTAAATCAAAGTCTTGTTGATTAAGATTGAGTTTGATAAAAAAAAAAAAATTTTTTCAAATATAGACTGATTCATCAAATTATGTATCACAATATGATCGATTGAAATGTTTACTTAGAGAAAAGTGTCGTTCATTTGATGCAATATATATGCTGTAGAGATCAATTGTTTCTGAATAAAGTTGTATTATATACAAGAGTTTTTAGTATAAATTTATCTGAATTCGAACATATTTATTTAAGAAGACTTCTGTTTAGGATGCTATATTTTGTGCATTACCAACTGGTATAAAAATTATTGTTGAAGACAAACAATGTGTACAAGGAAATGCTTTTATTGATACACGTGTTTTCGATTCATATGAATTGATGCGACAAGTTCGATTTCGTTTTCATCTTGAAACTGTTCTTGTATAATTTTACGTCTGCCGATTTTTATTTGTTTTATATGATTTATCTATTTAGAATTGTTTGAATATCTTTGGTATTCCACTTGATCCGGTGACACATGAACCATTACCAACCAATGTTGCTGTACAAATTCATTATCGTGAAAATCAAACACATCCATTACAGCTTTAGTAATTTATCATTATTTAGTTATTGAATTTGTAAACAAGCGGAGATAAAATTCTTTTTTTTTTATATTCATTTCATAGTTTAGAAGAAGAAGGTGTAATTACTGAATGTTTAATAAAAGTATTAGATGATACAGATACAATTGATTTTGATTTTCAAACAGAAAATGTTGTTACTAAAGTTGTTTTCAAGGTTAATAATCAATTATGAAACAAATACTTTTGATTAACTTTTAGTTTTAGGCTAGCGGATTCAAAGAAGCACTTAGCGAAATTGATCTCAAAGCTGATTGTGAATATTTTTTTAATTTTTATTTTCATTTCTACTATTTTTATTTTTTAAAGGTATTGAATTATTGATTACTCAAGATGTTCCACATTTTCGTCTTATTGCTAATGGATGTGGAGGTAGTACATCAGTTGATATAAATCAAGATTCACCTGTTATGGATACATTTCTATGTACGGAACCAGTGCATAATCGGTAATATCTGTTTTCTTTTGTTAATTTTAATGAACTTATTCTTCAGGTATAAAACTCAATTTTTTCAATATATCGTCCGAGCATTATCGATTGCAAATAAACTATCGTTACGTATTGATGCTGCTGGAATTCTCTGCGCACAATTTCTTATTTACACGGAAAAAGATAAACCTTCACTTGTTGAATATTTTGTAAATTTGTTTGAAATTTAATTTGATTATAATTTCTATTTTTACATATTTAGTTTGGACCAGATGAAGAACTTAATGACCATGAAGGAAATACGCAATCGAGTGATGTCGTTCTAATTGAAGACTAAAATTGATTCTTCTTTTACTTTTGTACAAATGTTCGTTTTTTCTATTCAAAATAAAACGAAACTACAGAGAATTATTATTCTTGCTTAGGTCAATTTATTTGTTAGAAAATTGTATCAACAAAAAACCTTACAAAAATCATAGGTTGTCATTGGTCAATATTTCAGTTCAAAGAATCCAATCACCAAAGTATTAGAAGACTAACAGCATGAAGAAATAAGTGAAAGTTTAAATAATCAATAAAACATAGAAGAGTTCGTGCATATGTCTAAGAAAATGTGTTCTGATGCGCTGATATTTGTCCAACGTTCATCGTGCATCTAGAATTTATTTAAAATGACAAAAAAAGAAATTTTTCCTCAGATGACAACTTGTGTTTAGATGTTCTGCGAATGTCTTAGAGACAGTTTCTAGCTAAATGCATGATTGAAATTCAAATAATAAATGAATAGCTATTGTAATAGCAAACTTTACAAAAATATCTTAGTTCTATTATCATTTATTTAATGCATATAGTTTGCCAGTCAATAAATTGATTGAAGATAACATTAGAGTCTTACAGCACTCAATTCGACCTGGTGTCTGAGTAAGGTTATAAACAACTCGGTCGAATAATTTTAGTTGTTTCAAGCTATTTGTTATATATAGATATAGAAGTAAGAACAGTGCGATCATATTTTAAGAGATTGTACTACTTGAAAATAGGTAATATAATTAAAAGGAGACATATTTTAGATTTCCATGATGATTAATTATCTTAACACATAAGAACTGAAGTCAGTTATGCGAAGAATAAAACGATATGTTCTCATGATAACAGAATTAGTAATATACATGTATACATCTCATCTTTCTACTATAAAAACACTAATGATCCTCATACTGATTATTGCTTATTTTTCATCAAATCTCTAAGTAAATATTACCTTCTGATATTGATCATTTTATTTGGGGTCTAGTTCAAACTGCTTCATGAATGGAATTTTTCTTTGCTAATATGGTGTAAGATATTAGAAATTTTCTGAATTCAAAACTGAAAAGTTGCCATAATTCTTACTATTTGGTAATGATAAATCCCATTTTTGATACACCTTAATTTGGTATAAATTTGTTGTTTAGATTATGTGAAATCACAATGTTACTCCTCTGAAAAAACATTTTTACTCACCCTCTATATAGTTATATTCGCATGATCATGTTTAACTCCAATATCGGTTTGTAATTTGAGAGACTTCATAGACAAATGAAAGTACGTAGAAATCACCAAAAACAGAAACAGACAAGTTCTGTTGCTTCTAAACAAGTTTCATTATATTGTGACAACAGTAATTGATACAAATGATAAAATACGAAATACTACTTGGATTTGAAAAGTTTCTTTCATTTAAGATTAGCTTAAAAGTCTTCAAGTTATCAAATATATCATTACAGACTTATAAAAACGACCAAGAGTACATTTGATTGAAGCGAGTCGTTATTTATTTTTGATTTGAACGAAATCGTAGTTTAACTCAGATGGAAACCACAGATTATGTGCACTTTCAAGAATTCGCTTTATATATTTATGGTTTTTAATAATTCAAAATCACTTTACAAATGGATGACATGGACTGCTCGTTACTGCTGACATTTCACCATGAGCATGAAGTATTTTTTGTAATGATTTCTCCTGTTGCTCTAGATTAATCACTGAGAAAGAAGTGACACGGTTAAATTGCCGTTTATACGATAACATTTGCCTTTCTTCTCGAAAGGCGATGACAAAGGGCATCAAAAAGTGGTTACCACTTTTCTTGGCATTTCAAAGAGTGATTGATGCTGCATAATCGTTGAAACATTCATCTACGTCTATATCTTCAACATAAATAGTGATAAACGGTTATAATCATGATTTTTTCCGCTTAAAACTGCTATAAATGCTCATATCAATTTAATTCTTTTCCTGTTAGGACTGTGATTCTATTCATTATTCGAAATCTTATGAATTTGTGCTTCTACTAGTGCCAGAGTACACACTTGAATGAAAGTCGAATCGACTGGAGCTTTCGCTTGTCTCTTTTATCTGGCGAGTTATTTTTTTAAAAATCTTTTTCTATAGATTGATTTATAAAAAAATAGTTTTCCTTTGTGTGCTAATAACTATGGCATGTCATCTGCTCATGTTTTATCCGTTCGATGATGTGAAAGAGTTTGATCATCATTCGACTAGACGCTCTGACCTCATGACAATAATAGTTGTCCGTTCACTCCGTCGTCTATTCATCCTCTTCTCTATTTTTACTTTTCTCTCCTTCCTCATTCCTTCTCTAGTATGTCAGCTCGTATCTTATATGAAATAGACCCAACTCGAGTAATGGAGTAATTTAGTGAACATTTATATTGAGGGTGGTAATAGTCGTTATTCCTTCAGTTTGTTATTATAAAGCACAATAGAATACAAGCTGTATTGGTAACGATAGAGAATATCCTTTCATCTCTCTCATTTTTGTTAAACAGTCATCAACATGAATGAAAAATGAAGTTAGAGAAGTAAAGAAAGAATAAATTCAGACAGTACATTTATTTCTTCATGCTATGAAGATAGTTCAATTTCTTCACATTTCTAAGCAATTGACAACGTTTCAACTATATACAAGGAGTAAGAAATAAATAAAAAAAAAGCGTTAAAAGAGAGCTTGTAATCAATGTTTTTCGATATCTAATCTAATCAATGAGTAGCTTTTATTCTGTTTTCGAAAAGCAGCAATATTTGATTTATAGCAAGTCGAAATGTTTATCTAAATAAATGAAAATTTATCCACTTATAAGACATGACATACGCATCGAAGTATTTTCTGAAAGTTTTCAAACTGATAGAAAGATAATAATTTGAACATTTTACACAATATTTGTATTGATATATTAAGTTTTAAATGGAGGAATTTTCATTTGTTTCGATAAATATTTTCACTTGTTCGAAATGTTCCATTTCGAAAACAAAATGAAAACGATTCATTGATTAGATTAAATATCGACAAAAACTGATAATGGTTTATCACGTATAATATGATGAAAATTCATGCGTGCAACCATGAACAAATCTGTGTTTATAACATTCTTGATATAGTCTCTGAGCGATAAGAACGTGATTCTCAATTTTTACTTAGAAAATCGTTTATTGTGATAAACGAATATTTTGGACAGTACGTTACAGCTTAAACGCTGTGAAGTTGGATATAGTTTAAACGACAAACGAGCATCCTTTTTCAATTAACTAGGTAGGTGTCTAACAACATTCTTTTTTCTTTTATTGACTCATCATTGCATTACTCACCATAAATTTTTCTTGTTCTCTTCTTTATTACACAGACTCTTTTTCTTCTATTACTTACGCATACATGTCAACCTCTCATGTCAATAATAAGTCATCTATTCGACAATTTTTCTTACTTCGCACCGTATCTATATTAACAGATATCACCATCAGAAATGCATTCATTTTCTCAGCATTCTTCGAATCAAACATCCATCTTAATCGTCCACAAGCCACAGCAACACAGATATAGTCACTTAACACAACCAATGTCAAACCTAACATACAAACATTGACTGCCGATGTGATAATTGAGCAAGTTCTTCTCAACGATGAAGTAATTGCGATTGAAGAACAAGCGACCATCTATGCTTATATTCCTCGTATTGATGATCGAAAAATTATTGCTAGATTGAGAGAGAAGAAAGAAGTGCAAATCGAATAAAGTGTTGATCTTCAACGAGATCATGGTACTTATCTACTTGACCAAAATGAAAAATTGCCAAATAATTTTGCTGTTAGCGCGAGCACGTTACTACAGAGCAAAGTATGTCACGTCTCTGTCTCGTACGTCTTCAAATTGGATCTTGTGTAAAAATGGAAAAAAAATACGGTTTGTCATTTCAACTGCTAGCATATCTCGGCATCAGCTATTTTCCACTTAATTAGATGCGCAGAGTGAGACATTGCCGGGTTTCAAATGACCAGAAACAATACTTTTCGTTTTACACCGCTAATATTGGATTGTACAAAGCTTCGCTTAGAAGACAAAACTAAAAATTTTCATTTGCTATATTTTTGTGTTCCAGACTCAACTCTATGGGACATTTTTATCGTAAAAAACTGACGAAAAAATATCTTTAAGAGGATTTTCACTTTTCACTATAAATGAAACGTTTTTCAAATTTGAGTTTTGAGCATGATATGTAGCAAATTTAATTTTCTAAAGTTTATCTGTTAAGCTCGACTTTGTAGAATTCATTCTTTAAGTTGTAAACAGAAAAATAAAACAGTTTTTCAATCTGAAAGTCGACTTATACAGACTCGGTTTCAACAAGAAAATAACTTTAGAAGTTAGCTAGTTGTTTATTTTTGAGAAACAAGTCTAATAAATGCTCCCATCATGGTGAGAAACGCTAATTATTGTTAGTTAGTTGTTTCTGACTTTGTTAATTATTTTGATTCATACTTAAAAAAGGAGTTAATAATGTCTATGCATCTGTATGAGTATGTGTCGTACAATAATGCGTATAGAAGACAACTATTCTAGAGACTGAATTCGAATCTCTAGCCGGGCCTCGTTCCTTAATTCTTCTCGCTTTAAAACTCAGTATCAGATAGTAACAGACAGAGGTTTTTTTACATTATACGATGGGAGACGCGTTAATGCATCAAATCAAGCCATATTTTTATCTAAAGAGTAAATTATCCGAAATAAATCATTTTTTGACAGTAGGAGTCTATATTTGTTAAAAGATAACCTCTGAAGTTCATGAATCTCTCGTTTTGTAGCAAAAAATTGCTTCTATTCAAATCCGTCGTCAAAACAAAGCTACTCACGCTCATATTTCAATTTTTGTAGCTAAAAGACTGAATTGGCCTGATTTTATCTGGTCAATTTGGACTACATCAATGAAATCTATTTATAAATACATATTGAGACTGTTTTTCAAAGCCTTCCATATGAGCATATTCAGACTCATCTTATTTAATAGCACACTTCACTTTTAAACCAAGATAAATTCATTTTGATGCAAAAATGATGAAACTACTACACTGTTACAACAATTTCGGCCAGGAAAAGTTCGACAGACTTTAAGAAAGATTTATTGTCTTGAATTTGAGTGTTTCATAGGCTACGTAAATCTTATTTCATATTGTGTCAACGGTTAGTTGAATACATATAGCTACATAGATTCTTTTTCACTTCAGATTGTAATTGGTTTCAAATGAGCAAACAATTGAATATAAATTGGAGATTCTATTATTTAAGATAACAATATTTCAAGCAAAACCTGAAACATTAAAACCTTTCCCCGATAGTGAGAGCAGATCATATTAATAGATTATCTTAACTACTGCTAGTTTATCATCTTGAATCTGCAGCAGATATTTTCTATTATTCATTCATAGTGTTGAGCACATTTTAAAGTTCCAACAACTTTTATCGAAAATGAGTTCATCCAAAAACATTGACTTTTAGGATAGTTAGCCTTTTCTGGTTAAATTACTTGTTGATATAAGATTTAGGTTCATGTTCCTTTACATGTTGATTATAATCTATTGAGACACTTCAATTTACAATTTCTGTTTAACGATATGAATAAAAGAACAGGAATCTTTTATTGAAACAAAAAATTATTTCAATTTATATATGTCGAACTCCAACTTCAACCAAATATTTTTAGATATAGATGGAAACAAAAATTATTTTCTTGGATATTGATGGAGTATTGTGTTTAGGAAAAGAAATTGATAAAAAATGTCTACAAAATTTGAAGACCATAATAGACATGACATCTGCTCGAATCGTTTTAACTTCTTCTTGGAGGTAATTGAAAAGTTTCCATTTTGCTAGTTCTTTACCTTGAATTTATTGTTCAATTTAGATTTTTTCCAAAATCAAGATCCGAAGTCGAATCATCGTTTAAACAAATTGGAATTGATTCCTTATTAGGATGGACTAGTAGTCGAGGCAAAACAAGAGTAGATGAAATCTATCATTGGCTGAAAGATTTCGATTATAAAACTATTGAACAAGACATTATTGTTCAGAAATGGATTGCCATTGACGATATGGATTTATTTAAAGTTGATAAAAAACGAATGAAAGACCACTTTGTTATGACTACGCCGCTGTATGGAATTACAGAAGAAACCATCAAAGAAGCAGTTATGTTACTTTCATGATATTGTCTGACTCAATAGAAAATATTTTATTACTGAAAAATATAGAAAAAAGAACTGATCTTTCTATATATTCGAGTTATTAGAATACTTTTGGATACAATAGAGAGCATAAATGTGGTGAGAGTGTCCATGGGATAGGCGATTATGACAGTTAGGATGATGATGAGGGTACACATATATATGGATATTTACACTCGAGAGTGTAAGTCGATGTAGGCTGGTGCGTATTCGGAAAATTGGAGCAGAACGAACGTAATGATGCTGAATACCGTTGTTGAGTAATAATGCTTAACTATGCTGAAAACTTGATAGAATTAGTGGTCAAAAATCATCAATTAAATAGTAACTGTTGTATGCAAATAAATATTGTTCGGTTTATTATTGCTGCTGATTGTTCTATCGATCGTAGTTCAACAATTCTATTTATATTGCATGAATAAGGATCAGCCTGCAAAAGATTTTGAACTGTCAATGTATCATTGTTTGCATTATGATGTTAAAGACGGGATTATTCCGATTCAAAACTAATACAGCATCAATAATTGTGATAAGAAATCCTGTAAACTTCAAGAAACACTATTGTCTCTTGTCTTGGGTATTGTCTCATATGGTTGTTTTGTAGCTTGTCTTCAAAGCAATGGTCTGAACGTTGAGTTTGAAAACAAAGAAGTATATCACTCTGTTTTGTGTTCTTACAGTGAAAGAAGAAAGCAATCGAATAAGTTGAATATGTCATTTGGAATTCTATTTGATTCGGCTCAGTTCAATTCGACCTACTTTTTCAGAAATGTAGCTTTTTTAGAATCAATTCTACTGAACTCAATCAAACCGAATCAACTTGTTAAATATTCGGTTAGGTGTTAGTCTGTTGCCGACTGATAATTCGTTTTGCTTTCACATTTGATGTCACATTGTCAGCTGCTTTTGTCATAAAACACGTTTTTACGAGCTGAGCAGCTCGACGAATCAATGTAGGAAAGTAAGCAAAATTTTTATGAAAATTTCACCTCATCATTCAGAGTTTTGTCAAGCTCCTAAATTTGTCTTTGATACAGTGACTCATCTGACTCTGATTATGTGATGTGGGAGAAGAGATAGTCTACTCTAATACTAAACCAGATCCCCACATACTCACGTCGACAATCATAGTCATGTACTCATCCATCGGAATGGTGAACCATGCTGCTAAATATCGTACAACAAACAAATGATGTGTTCATTACGATAATTCTAAAGATGTTTCTCACTGTATTTTTGTTCACCTATGTGGGCGAAATCACAGCATGTTCTATTTGGATCAAAGCTTGTTGATTTGCATGTTATATGTTTTATTTTCGTCCTCGTGGCACAATATTGCCACAGCTTCTCTAATGGTTTATTGGGTTTACGGAGATGTCATCTGCATTATTTATTAAGTATAGTCAATACATTGAAATAAAAGGCGAGAGGAAAAACAGCTGGTTGTCACTATTTGCAATTACTCGACTTCTAGTTTTAGCTTGAGAGAGTACTCTTCTTAGTAACTGGTTACCGACGTGTTGAAGTAATTCGATTAATAATATTCCAGTCATGGACGTAGGACAGAAATGCATCATTCGACATTGTCATGATTGTGCTTGATAAATTCGCTGACATTTTGAGCCTCAGGGCTTTTGAAAAAGCTGATACGATGACAGATCGTTATTGAGAAAATTTCTGCTGCATTAAATTTATACCCTAGTGTCAAAAGAATGAACTCAGGCCAGTACTATTGCTTCGCTTTTCTGAAACATTAACCTATCTAAATATTAATGGTACGATGAAGTCACTGTGTTGTTTCTGTTGTAGACAGGTTCTCTTAATCGGTAAATATCAACTCTCGAAGATAGAATTCGGAGTAAAAAGTCCATATAGTAAAACTAAAATTGTAGACCAATTTCGGCTTTTCCTATTTTTCTTTTTGAAAAAAGTAAGCACTTTTTTAAGCTGCTTCTTTTGTAGATGCACTATTGAAACGTCCACAATAGTGGCAGTGATTTTTCGTATGTCACGATACCTCTGTTCTGCTGGCTTGCATAGTCAAAATATTAACTAAAAAAAAACAAGTATAGAGAACTAAATGATGCGATTGTTAAAACATGTTTATGACAATCAATATTCGGTTCTATCTGTCATAAAATGTCTTGTGCGCGTGGCTGTTCAACATCGATAATATTTATCTTCCTTGTTCATATGTTCCATTAACAGCTGGAAGTATTATCTACACATCATTAACTAAAAAACGTTTTCACCATAGTGCTCGATTCTCATTCTCATAGCATCGTAACCAACAAATGTTTATTCAGGTTTACTTCGCACGAGTATAAACATACGTTTGTTTTCAAACAAAAAGCAGTCCGCTGCTAACATTATACATTTTGACATCCATCAATTACTTATTAGATATATTCTATGCAATTAAAAGCGCCTTCTTAAGTGTTCACTGTGGAAGTGCACTATCTGCGCGACGAAAAAGAATGAACAGAAAGTATCCACAGCAAATGGGTTTTGCTTGATGTCTGCAAATGAATTATGCAATTAAAGAACACGTATTCCTTTGTCAAAAGCTATTGCAGCGGATCTTTTATGTTACTTTCAGTCTAGGTCGAATGCTAAAGTATCAGAAGAATCAGAAAAAGAATATCAAATAGAAATATAAAAGTCGTAGATGTGGATGATGATGAGAGGTGTAGATGTGTGAGTATGAATAAAGAGATAAATTGCACTCATACGCACACTTCCTATGTGCATGCCACGACTGATTTGCTATGAAATTTCCTGGTATTCTATTCCATCATAGACTCTGTAGAATTCACGTGATTCGGTTCCTGCACCAAGGAAATACAGATAAAAATTTCGATTGTCGAATGGCTGAAGCTATGGAAAAGTCATTCAAATTATCTCAAAATTCTGCGGAAGGAAATTGCAAAAGACTACAAATCGTACATAATTTTGTGTTGGAACCATTGAGAGACTTGTCAGGAATGTTGACGTTGAGAAAATTTAAAAAATTCTTACATCAATAACATGAGAATGATCGATAGTACTAGCAAATTATAAATAGATCTTGCAATAAATCTTGTCATCCAGATTAAAGAAAGAAATTCTACGTTGAACTATTTCAGTTTCGGTAAATTAATGCTTTCAATACAATTATACTGTATAGTGTTGATACAAACAAAAGTGATAATAGAACTAAATATTTTGATAATTTGTTGAATTGGTGCAAATACCAATGCAGCCTATCCAACAGTGACGAGATTGTTACAGTCAAATAGTTAATCAGCTGTCTTATAAATAAATGTCATGATAAATTATAGCTAAGCAAATTTAACTATTTCAACTACGATGAGGATTTACCATTAGACTACATGTTCCAGTCTCTTGATGTTGTTTTTCTGTCAATGAATGTATCCTAATTTGAAACGCATTTTTTTGTCTCAATATTACCGATAACTTCTATAGGTGTATAAGAAGAGAAAGCAGCTTGTAATTGTAAGTGACAAGAGGCACTGTTGATGGTAACTATAGAAATCTAGCTGATTCATGATAAGTAAGAGAAAACATTGCACTATTTAGCTATGAAAATCTTTTTTATTTCGATGGAAGACATGGTGCTATGTTTACTCTCAATATCATAAGTTATCGATGTAGTATACTTCTAAGTCTTATATCAGTTTGCTAAATAAGAAACCAGTACAAACGCAATATTTAGAGGTGAGAATAGCTAAGATCCATAAAATCTTAAACAATTAACTAGAGTTTGATAGAATACAGTTTTCTTCGTTGATTCTTGTAGAAAAGCGGCAAAAACATGTCAAGTAGAATATAAGTGCGAGGCTTGCTCAAACTAATAGTTTTTGAAGTCTTTTGATTGTTGGGATTCATCATTTGTTATGCACACAGTAGCGATATCCACTCGTCACTAACTGTTCTTTTTTGCTTTTTCCTTATGGAATATTGCCTCTACATCTTACTTCATATCTTGAAAAAACTGATCGAAAACATATCTCAAAACTATTTATTTGCTGTGTCATGGAACACATGATATCTGAGTGCATGGAAGAGGGATATATGATATCAGGGCAAAAAATACTAATATCTTTTTGTCGGGTTATTATTTTCTTTTTTCTCATCGACAAGATTATGTTTGTGCAATGTCAGCAAGTTAACGTCGCTAGCGATTCTTTTGTCCTTGTTCTTTATCTAATATTTTATCGTTTCTCATGTGCTTTTTGCGCAGAAAGATAATGACTTATTGCGAAGAAATGCTAAATATGACGATGAAGTATCCGAGTATTGCTTTTATCTATAGTGTTGACCTTTGCTTCATTCATTCGTTTTCTTCTGGGCTTTCTTTTCTGTCATTCATTCTGGCTGATTTTTATGTGCTTTTCGTATTGTAAGAAAAATATCTTGGGTAAAACATAGCTTTTTGTCATTTAACTTAGGAATTCTAAGTACCAATCATCATAGAAATATTCGCAGTGCCTGAGTCCACATAAGAAAATAAGGAGAATGATTGTTCGAATACCAGTGAGAGCTTTGCTGTTCGAGTAGGAGAAGAAAACATACTTCTACCTCTAACAGCAAAGACTCAGTTCGAGTCACGAATTATTGCTCTTTATTTTCCTCAATTATCTTCCAATGGGAATTAATTTGCCGTGATCTATTTTATATTCGAATTCGAATTAAGCATTTCATGGAATATATTTTAGTTCTCTTATTGATATCGTATTTGATAAAAGGCGAACCGAGAATCATGTATACAGATTATCAGCAACATTCATATAAGTATTTTTCAGAATGTCGTCACGATTTCTGGTGTCATCCAGTAGAATTTCTACGCATCGCCGATGTGATAATTGTAGTGTTACTATCGATTACGTGGTTTGGAAACAATGTATAATATGCGAAGTGTTTGATTTATGTCCTACATGTGCTAAACTTGATTATACTGACCTACTACCTGGAACGCGGGATCATCATAAACGTTGGCATCGAACGTTATTGAAAACTCAGCCAATAACTGATGATTGTTTGAAATGGTTACCGGTCGAACAAGCTGAAAAAAATGGGAAAGAAGCTCGAAAAAAAATAAAACAGATAAAATATGAGCAGATACAAAAGGAGAAGAAAATCGAAAATGATTATGAAGTGTATATTGTTACAGAAAGACTAAAGCAACTGGCAAATGAATCATCAACAACATCCCAAGAAACAGAACTGAATCAATTAAACTCATTGATTGCTGGATACCATTTGCAATCATTTCAACGGAACATACGCGTACTCAGCTTAGATGGTGGTGGTAAGATCAGCAAAACTCTTCTCTTTGACACGCATATTATTGTCTTGTTTGTTTTCTACTTCTAGGCGTACGCGGTTACATGCCTATCAAAATTCTTGTTCAACTTATAACAGAAAAATTTCTTTCAAACCCTGAACAATTTAACCCCAGCGATACAGCTCACAAGGAACGATTTACAGTGGCTCAGATGCGCTTTACGGATCAGTTTGATTATTTCATCGGCACTAGCACCGGCGGACTTATCGCTTTTTGTTTGGCTATGAATTATAATATATTGGATATGATGGATATGTATGCAAACTCTTCTTACTATTTCAAGCGCAACTATTTGGGGCCCTTGATCTACTCCAAATATGATCCATCTCGTATACATCATAAGATTGATGAAATAATCAATGGAATTCAATTCAAAGATGGTACACGATTATCAGCTGAAAATGCTACTTTACTTGATATTCGTAATCTCTTGAATCCTGACAATATGATTGACGATGAACAATTGACATCGGCCGTTTCATATCGTAGTAATTCCTTAGAATTTGTTGATGACAAGAACTTTACGGAGGATCAAGGGTTCATTAGTGAACTCGGTAATCTTCATCGTGTCAGACGTGAAAAAGTATTACTGATTACTGCTTACAACATAACAACGGACAGCATGGCAATATTTAATACAAGTTATGCTAAGCATTGGGGCTATCGTATTTCAGATGTATTAAAAGCCACTATGGCTGCTCCGACTTATTTTCCACCACATGAAATATGGAGCGGAAAGAAACATTATGGAAATTTTGTGAAAGAGGGTACGTCCGAATTATATATTGATGGCGGTGTGTTCGCCAATGATCCAGAATTAGCTGCAATATGGGCAATACGAATGCAATGGAAAAAGCTAGTCAATTATCATTTACTTTCGATTGGTACAGGTTGTTATAATACAACACTATCTTCATCTACTTGGGGTGGTTACATGGGATGGATATTTAACAAAGGATTCTTAATCAATACTTTGATGGATGCTTCACGTAGTTTCATTGAAACCATTGCTGGCAATTTGGCTAAATTTCATGATATCAGACGAATGAAATTAAATTATCAAATTACAAAAGCGATGGCTTTAGATGATGGCAATTTTGTAAATAAATTCGATGAAGAATGGGAAACCTTGAAAAAGGAAGACGATTACAAAGCATTGGTTTACTTTTATGACACATATATTGCGATACAGAACGAATCGAAAATATAAATCAATATTCTATATCATTTTTTTCATATTTCCTTCTCTTTACTAATTTACTGCGTTTGATTGTTTATAGTGACAAAAATAAACTTTACATTTTTCTGACGCATCTTATACTTTCAAAGAGTACTTTCTTTTTATTTTGAGGCTCATGTCATCTATGGGGACAAGTTCGAAAGAGTTAGTTTTTAGCTATAGAACAACTCAATGAAACTAGATTTGAGATTGAAAGAACATCGACAAATATGCAAAGACAAAGAACGGAATCTTGGAATCTTGGAATTGTATGGCATTTAGGAAAATTTTAGCTAATTTTCGAGATTCCTGGAGAATTTTTCGGATTTGCTTGAATTGTTAAGAATTCTTTGGAATTCTATGGGATACTATAGAATCCTGGAGTCTATAGTCTAAGCGTCCTTGGATATATTGCTGTTGCAGAAAAAACTGCGACCATACATCAAGGATGAATCTAACATCATCAATAATGTTGTTCATACTGTTCTCAATCAGATTTTCACTTTTTCAAAAGTAACTAGGTAGGATAAATCACAATGCAGTTTAGTGTTTATCATTCCAGAAAAGTTCAAAATACTGCCATTCTGGAGACGGCCATTTCTCGAGTTTTGGACAGTATTTAACCTACAGTGTTTGTTTGTTCCATATATTAGCCGCTTAAATAGAATGAACTTGTAGTCTAGACTCTCATTTATACAATAAGACGATGCCAAGTACAAATGATCAAGCCATTCGTGAAAAAATGTCAAAATTCTGAGCATACCCATGTTCTGTCACTTTTTAAGGGTCAAAATGAACCCTTTAACTTGGTTTAGCTCACGTTTATCATAGCTAACATCCAATGTCCTACTATTGTAGACTTGACTGATAGAATTAGGTAAGAAAGATAGAATTATGTGATTAACTTTTAAAACAAGCCAGTATGTCGATTATTTTGATATAAGAGTACAAGAAGAAACATTTAGTTTTAAAACAAAAGTTTATAGGAAGTTATCAAAGGAACCATATATTTTACCTTTTGATTCAGCACATTCGCAACATATGATGAAACATATACCGTTTTCAGTCTTATTGAGAACAACTATAATGAATATGTTCATATATAGGAAATTTAGCAGAGAAAATAGAAAAAATTACAAGAAAATTGTTATTGAATAAGTATTCGTCGCATTTTATAGAGCAGCATGTGAAGAGAATTTTCGAAGCATCAACAGAATAGACCGATTCGAAGTTCTTTTTTTGGAGAGAAACACAATAAATTTAGACGCTAGGTTCTACATATACAATGGAATAAGAAAGAAAAGCAATGAATTAATTCTCTTTTCTGAAAGAAAGGGTCTTACATTTGAAAAATGTATGTATGTTTGTCTGTCTGTCTGTCCAAGCCAATGACAAACGACTTTTTCTATTTTTAGATTTTTGGCCATTCTGATGAAACTTGTCTATGGGTTATCAGGGGCGAGGAATCTGAATTCGTTGTCGGATTTTTTATGTGAGCTACCATTGATCGGGAAAGCAACCAATCAGAAACAAGCTTTTATATTTTTCGATTTTTTGGTTTTGTTAAAAATTTGCTATAGGNGTTTGATCATTTTTTTAAGGCTAAAAGTCAGGCACTATGCAATGGTGAAATATCGTATTATTCTGATAGAAGTAAAAATGAAACTAAGGTTAAAAAATAGACTTCTTCTGAATTCAGACAAAACTTTTCATGATATTATCATTTACTTTCCAAAAACAATTGAAACAAAATAACATAAAAGTCATGAATGTTCATGAAAAAAATGGTGGCTACTATTTTGTTCAACTGTACGAACTCTTTGGAGAAAACAGCCTATCACATTGCGAATATAACGGGCATCAATTTTTTAGCATGTTTTTTAATTTCATTCTAAAAATTTTCTCGTGTTTTAGCCTTGTGATAATTATTGTTTTTATTGATATTATCCGAGATAGAATAATCTAACGGGCTCAAGTCTGATGAGTAAGAAGGTCAACGATCTTTAAATATAAATGACTTGAAGTTCTTTTTGCATAATTCTTGGAATCTTTCATCAGTATGTGTTGTTGTTGCTCCATCGTGTTGTAGACGCTAGTTTTGATGATTAAATAACGGGTTACTATCGGTCTGATAAAGTAGTAACAATTGATCTGCGCTGAGTTATTTTCAAAATACTAGATGCTACAATCATTGTTTCACTCAGTATATTTTTATTTTTTTCTCATTACATACTCGTTGTCTTCCACCAGAGCATCAAAACAGCTAAGTTCACATGGTATTTCATTAATGAATTTATTCTGCAACACAAATCGAACTTAATTGAATAGCTAAAATAAAAAAGAAAACAGAAGTTTATTATCAAAACTGAGTCACATACTGAAGTTTCATTTCTAATTCATTTTATTTGTAGTTTGTTAGAGTACGCCAAATGAATGCAAAGAAGCATGACTTAAGTTAATTTCTTCCGACAATTTATAGTAAAAGGAAATCTACGAGATATTAAGTTGAACATGTCGAAATTCAAAACTATTCTTTTCTTGTATTTTATCATGGGTAGTACATACAATAGAGAATTATCAAACATTCGATTATAGATGTGGTCGGTGGTTTTTTCCAGAATCAAGACTAAATAAAAATTATAGATATGATTTTATTTCTCTCTCGAGTTTCATAATTATCTATGTTCAATTATATATGCTAAATTACGAATATCATTTTGATAGCAATACAATTTCAAGACATTGGCACTACTCTTTTTTCACATTCACTAACCACTCTCCACACACAATATCGAATTGAATACTGATTGAAACATCCGATAAGTGCTTAATACTAAACAAGAGCAATTTTAATAGACGCCCTCCTCTCGCAGCCACAAAAATGCACTTCATAATTGTTGATATGAATCTTCACCAAGTTTTCCAGTTCTATTATGTCTATTTAAGTCCAGATTACATGGAGATATCGATGTAACAGAAAAAAAAAGAATGAACATATAAATCTTATTCGGAATTAGTATGGAACATGTTTCTTTTATAATACAAAAAAAAGAAGAAAATAATAACTAATTTGAAAATTATTTTCGATTTCGTCGTTTCCTTTCAAGAATTTGTCGAGCATCAGTTACAGGTGTTGATCCATCATCACTACTAAAATAAGAATAATAGAATAAAAATAATAATTTATATAAAATATATTCTTACTCTTTATTTGATTTGGACGATTCATTGGTTGTATTTCTTGAATATTTTGTATGTTTAGACGCTGGATCAATGGTGACTGTAAAATGAGGTTTTTCTTTATGTTGTCGATCATCATCATCATCATCATCATTATTCCGTGATCGTCGTCGTTGTCGTTTTGATCTATGTGCTCCTTCATCATCATCTTCATCTTCTTCACTTGGTGAATTTTTTTTCGGTGGAAGAACCACAGTAAATTTAACTTTTGCATCCGTTGCATTATCCTCCAATATTGTTGTTGTTACTTCCTCTACGATACTATTCGATGTTGACGTTGGATCATTCGATTTGACAACAGTAAAATCTCGAAAATGATTTGATTTCATTGCATTTAATGCACGTTTTTTTGAACGAGATATAAGACCAGTCATATTACTAGAAAAAATAAAAAAATCAATATGAAAATTTCAAATATATTGCTTTCTTTTACTTATAATTTGGATTTCCATATTGTCGATAATATTCAGATTGATTTTCAGCGCCACGATTTTTTCGATCATTCAGTGTTGTATATCGAAGATATAATTTAACAGATGATTCTGGTTTATCGACTAATTGAAAATTTCCTTCACGCCAGTGACCAGGCGGAAGAGCAACATCAGCTGAATCACTTTTACTATTTGTAGATGTTAATGATGATGATTTTCGTTTGGATAATCGCATAGCATGATCATAATTTACTGGGCGTCGATGAGATATACATGGGCCAGGTGTTGACTTTGTTGCAAGAAGATGAATTGGTGTTAAACTATCATACCAAAAGACATTACATGAATGATCAGAAATCCATTCGATACCAATAGGTGAAAAGTCTTCAAAAAAATTCAAAATTTCTTGTGTACTCATATTATTTACACCGCGAACATAAAGAGATTCAGGGCGCGATGTACCGCCTGATGATAATGATGTACGAAAATCTTCTTTAGTCAAATTTAAACTAAACAAGATAATAATACAAGAAAATTAACAAGAGAAAAAAAAGATATATATTTATGTTAAGACCAAAATTGAAGTTCGACTAGAAGTAAATTGATCAAGCTGAAGACAGTTAGAATCAAAACAAATAAAGACGTTTTGTTTTTATTTCACTAAGTATCGTTTATATCAAATAACAGCATAAATTAGTTTGTCAATATGGAATATTAGAACACATTTTTGCTGTTAAACAATTACTTAATTCGAAATCAGCTTTTAGAGAAGAATTAAGACCAGCCATCATAGATTATGTATGAGAAATTACAATGTTTAAAGCATGTAAACCTTATATTTATGAATTGACAAACGAGTGTAATGGGAAATTTGCCACAAAACAATGTCCATGTAAGAGAAGCAGGAGACTTTTTTGTTCAGCTACAGGTTATTCTAAACTACGATTGTTTAAATATAAGAGTGAATAAATAAAAATAATATGAATTGTAACTTGTTCAATATGAACAATACTTTGTGAAATGAGAAAAAAAAACTTCTTTATTCGTTTAAACTGTAAGTATCTTCTATTTGATCGATTTATTTCTATTAGTACAATTCTGATTTTCACTTGAACATTTCTTTACCTTTGCCAAATATCTTTCATTTCCTCTTCTGTTAATTTAACTGATTCTAATTGTTCTGCAGTTGGTAATTGATAATATTTGTCATCCTAAATAAGATAATAAACATTTATTTAAATAGATTCTTTTATACATACTATTGAAATAGTTTCTACATGATGAGTATTAGGTCCATCTCGAATATATACTTTCAGTTTC